TTTGCTTGCACTTTTAGAACTTGTCCTGTGCCCATACCGCAAACGTTTTGTTAAAAATTATTGATTCGTTTGGTAAAAATCAGTTAACAAAACAAAAGTAACAAAATTTATAAAAAACACTCTAGACAAAAATAAAAGTGTATATATTGTATTTATTTAACGAGTATAAATCTAGATATAATGTTTCATATGAAAATGGCGTGTTTATATTTATTGTGTATGACTTGATGCTAATGACTCATTAGTTAAGCCTGTCACTGGTGTTTGTGTTCATTATCCCAGCATAGCCACACCCACCGTCATCTGTTTGGTCACCCACAATCTTCGCCTCCATCTACATGACGTTCATCGGCGCTCTGGCGTCAGCGGTACTCGAACCTGCACCGTCAGTCGGGTTTCTCTTGAAACGTTTGTAGGAGTTTTTTGGTATTGAGATTAGAAGATGTCTTCTATACTACAATAAAGCCATTAATATTATTTTTAAAAATCCATTTGTAGAGTCATAATTTATTTTCGGTAGGTAAGTTGTTTTTCTTTTAGTATGACATTATTCAACATTCCAAAAAACATTGCCTTTGAAAAAAAAACTACTTAATATCAAAAGCACAACTGACTGTGAAGTGATTGAAAAACAATGTGTCAAAAATAAATGAATTAATGATTGAAATTTTAAATACAAATACAAGCTGTATATATTGTAGGTACATATACTAGCAACACGCTGTGTATATTGTAGTTACATATACTAGCAACACGCTGTATATATTGTAGGTACATATACTAGCAACACGCTGTATATATTGTAGGTACATATTCTAGCAACACGCTGTATATATTGTAGTACATATACTAGCAACACGCTGTATATATTGTAGTACATATACTATTAACACGCTTTATATATTGTAAGTACATATACTAGCACTAAGTATTACGCGTCATCATATTTTGCGCCATACGCCCCGTTAACCTCGACTTCTGCCTGCTTTTTTTTCTGGATCTGTTTTCACAGTCTTTGTACACGAAATACAAATCTACTAGTCATTTTATTTTTGTGTTTTCTCCCCTTGATAAATTGCTGCCCCCAGCTAAAGTACATCCTCGACCCGTAGACTCGAACTCAGAACTTTCGGAGTTTGCAATAGTACGTGCTTCCTCCAGACCACTTTATCACAGTTTCCTGTTGATTTGGCTAGATTAAAAATTAGCTGGGAACAGCCACCCATATGGCACATAAATCTGCTGTCCTGGTAGTTTGTTCTTGTATGGACAAAGGCTATGGAAGCTGTTCCAGAAAGAAAAGTTGGCTGAAACCCTATTCATTAGATCATATGCCTTATGGCGATAAACATGCTAACAGGTAATACTTAATTGTATTGAGAGAAAAATTCCATTCGACATTAACATTAAGAACGAGAAGATGAAGAATATTCTAGACATTCCACTTACCAAACTGTAAATATTCTACACATTACACTTACCAAACTGTAAATATTCTACACATTCCACTTACCAAACTGTAAATATTCTACACATTCCACTTACCAAACTGTAAATATTCTACACATTTTACTTACCAAACTGTAAATATTCTACACATTACACTTACCAAACTGTAAATATTCTACACATTCCACTTACCAAACTGTAAATATTCTATACACTTTCAACTTACCAAACTAAATATTCTACACATTCCATTTATCAAACTGTAAATATTCTACACATTCGACACAGCAATGCCTACTATTTTTGAGGTGTTAATTGCTATCCCAAAGAGTGTCTTGTGCTTACAACTCACTTAATTTTTTGTTCATATTATTGGATTATGTTTGTTAAAAATCGCTGTTATTAATTTAAGCAGTTTAACATGATTTATTTAAACACTCTTGACATTCAACAAATTAAATTGTATATACTGTGTTTATTAAAGATCATAAATCTAGATAGAATGTGCTGGAATGGATTTGTTAAATATTTTTTTTCACATTGAATTTACAATTTGTTTAAACGTATTACATTGATGCTAGTGACTCATTTGCTACTGCTAAGTGACGTCACTGGTGCTTTTTACAAGGATGTTTGTTCATTCTTGTCCCATCCACCGTCTTTTTCTCAACCCATGAACTTCGTCACTTCCTATGGCGCATTCAGCTGATCTATACTGCACCGTCGGTCGTGTTTTTTCGCATTCGTTTGTGGGACGTTTCTGGAAACTTCTCGAGATGAAGCTGACGCCTTCTCTTTTGAATGATATCCAAGACCGTCTTTTTAATCTTCGGGTTAGTAAATCTCGCTGAGACCTGTAGTATTGGGGGAAGGACTTAATACAGCTGTAACCTTGGAAACGTTTCAACTACGCTTACATCAAACACAAAGCACTGAATATTTTTTTCAAGTGTGGGCAGAGGCGTAGCAAAGGGGGGGCAGGGGGGTACATATGTCCCCGGCCGCCGACCTTAGGGGGCGCCAAAATGGGTTGGAAAAACAAATTAAAATCTCCTTTTAGGTGCAGTTTTTTTATTATAAATAGAAAAAATATATTGAAAGGGGGGGAGGGGTGCAAACGGAAAGTTTGAGGGGGGGCGGCTGCAAATGGAAAGTTTGAAGGTGGGGTGCAAATTGAAAATTGAAGGTTTGTTCCAGAGGGGGGCGCCAAATTGAAATTTTGTCCCCGGGCGCCGGGAAGGGTCGCTACGCCTCTGAGTGTGGGTGCTCTGCCTTGTTGTTTTATAACCAGGTGCCGCCTTAAACTTACATTGACGTGAACCAAATGTGTACATTGGCGAACCAGTCGTAAAAATACTCCGTCGATCTTTTCTTTTTTGCCGGCAACCATATGTAGCTCAACCAGACTGTGACTGAAGAGATGTTAAAACAAATTTAACTAGTGATCTCCCTTGTGCATGGTAATGAAAAGCGAATTCTACAAATAACGCCAGAATTATTAACTTTCAATTGAAAGCCACGGTGGAAAGTACGCTTTCCAATAACTGTGCGGGAGAGGGGTGTATTTAAGAATTATTTCCAATCTTTAGGTGTTTTTGAAGTTCACTTCTGAATACTGTACCAGCGATGCATGTATGATTTGATTAAAGATGTGATTTTGTGCTTTCGTTTATAATAAGACTGATACGTCTTAAGTCCACCATTTACGTTAAGCTAGTAACGACTATGAAGTAAGTCAATAATACCATAGGTGTCACCTAACAGTCTACCAACTCTGAAGGCTAAATCGTTTTTAACCCTAACCCTAACCCTAACCCTAGCCCTAGCCCTAACCCTAACCCTAACCCTAACCCTAACCCTAACCCTAACCCTAACCCTAACCCTAACCCTAACCCTAACCCTAACCCTAACCCTAACCCTAGCCCTAACCCTAACCCTAACCCTAACCCTAGCCCTAACCCTAACCCTAACCCTAACCCTAGCCCTAACCCTAGCCCTAACCCTAACCCTAACCCTAACCCTAGCCCTAGCCCTAACCCTAACCCTAACCCTAGCCCTAGCCCTAACCCTAACCCTAACCCTAACCCTAACCCTAACCCTAACCCTAACCCTAACCATAACCCTAACCCTAACCCTAGCCCTAACCCTAACCCTAACCCTAACCCTAACCCTAAGACTTATCGAAAAATTAAAGCTGAGCTGAAAAACTATTTATTTTTAATGTGGGGGAGCATGACAGTTATAACATGTGGCAGCTAATTTTGTCAAAACAAAACATGCACCGTCAACATGTCATTATAAAACTGTGTTGACTTTCTTTCATTAGCTCGATAGCACAAAAATCTAGCGATATGAACAAAATATGAATTCACACTTTGCTACCACTAAACAAATGTTACAAAACTATAGGGCCCTGGACACAAACGACTTGGCCCCATCTCTGTGTAACAATACGTTATTTCACTGAGCACACAGATTCTCATTCACTAATATAAATAGACACAGATAAACACACAACAGCATACATTATTTGAAAAAATTAAAGCTCTCTCACACACACAACAGCCACTCACACACACACAACAGCCACTAACACACACGCCAGCCAAATACACACCATCCACACACACACACACCATCCACACACACACTCGCCAGCCAAATACACACCATCCACACACACCCACCATCTACACACACACCAGCCACACACACATCAGCCACACACCCACCAGCCACACACCCACCAGCCACACACACACACACCCACCAGCCACACCCACACCCACCAGCCACACCCACACCCACCAGCCACACACACACACACCCACCAGCCACACACACCCACCATCTACACACACACCTGCCACACACAAACATCAGCCACACACACAAACCAGCCACACACATACACACCAGCCACACACACACCAGCCACACACACACCAGCCACACACACCCACCATCTACACACACACACCAGCCATCTACACACACACACCAGCCACACACACACACCAGCCACACACCCACCAGCCACACACACACCAGCCACACACACACCAGCCACACACACACCCGACACACATACACACCTGCCACACACACTACACCAGCCACACACATCCACCATCCACACACACCCACCATCTACATATAAACACACCAGCCACACACCCACCAGCCACACACACACACACACCATCCACACACACCATCCACACACACTTACCACCTACACAAACAATAACACAAACCTACACAAAAAACACACACACAAGCACCTGAAGTTGGTCTTGATATGTTCAAGCAACCTTGCAACTGACCCTCGCCGAAAGTATCTGAGAACACTCATATTCATCCGGAGGTCATAAATAGGCAAGACAGGATCCAACATGGTGATTATCCAGTCACTGTCAGAGTTCGTGTACAGTGCCACTTTTATTTCTGGACATGCCTGAGTCTGTTTTATAGAAAAGTTATGTTTTAAATTTACATATATATAATTCTTTACGTCAACCAACCATGCGGGACACCACGCACGCACGCCGACTCTCTAAACCTCCTCCCGCCCCCTCCCTCGCTCTTCAGGCATGCGCAACAGTGTGTACCCACCCACTCTATTGCGACAACTGTGTCTTTCAGGAAGTCTTCACCCGTCACTAAATTGCGGCGTCGGCTAGGCCGCGGGTCGGCTCGTTTGATTTATTTGAATTCCAGACAATCACGTGTTACTTCGCTCGTGTTATCTACAATCTACACTTATACCTTCATGCCCCCCCCCCCCCCAACTTCACTATTCCATTCGGTTTCCTCACCCATGCTTAATTCTTCTTAGATCATGGGTAAAGATTTTGGAACAAAATACTGCATCAACAACTTCTACCAAGATGTTCCAACTTAATTAATTAGATGAGTAATTTAAAACAAAACTGAATAACAATTTCAACATAAAGCACACATTTTATCGTAAAATTCTAGAGCATTTATTTGATGCGAAGAATTTGTTCACTGAAAACGGATTTTAGAAAAATAAATTAACCTACCAATTTTACCCACGAACTTTGTTGAATTTCCACCCTATACATGAGATAGTGGTTGTCGAAGAGTTTTAGTTTCTTGAGTCTTGCATATGAGCGGGCCATCGCATTAACAAAAGCATCTGAAAGAAAAACATAGTCGATCCCCAATTCCGTCAAGCGGTTGAGAGAAAGGATGCCGTTATTAACACGGTCAAACTCATCCGATTGCGGGTGAATTGCGTCCGACTGGAAAAAGCCTTCGACGAATAGAGATTGCAGGGACCCCTTCGACACTGACAACACTGTATCAAGGACTTTGATGCCGTCACTGATTCTCCAAAACGCGAACGGCATCCCAAAATGTTTTAAATGTTGACTTCGGGACAGAATGCGGGTTAGAGAATCAACGGTGCAAGACGCTTCTGGCGCCTTAGTTTTGTTACCCCCGTAGTTCATTGATTGATAATGACGACAATGACGTGTGATGCAAGTTAATTAAAAAATTCCTGAGACCAACGGCCATGTTTTTGCAGTGTAAATGGTTTCTAGGGTGGTCGCAGATTATTTCCAGTACCCGGAAATGTCTACCGAATTGTGTGGCTAACCGATTGGCTGCATCGTTGTGTGGTGAATTCAGACTACATGACAGCTTCAGGGGAATATTTCGCCAAAAGTTCGGGTTGCCGTGGATCAAATTTCGCCAGTACTTACATACTGCCGCGAGTCGAATCAGGTCTTTGATTTGTAGAAAGCTGAAGATGTTTATGATGATTTCCTCAGGTATCTGATCCGGTAGATACGACACGTTCGTACATTTAAATATTGGATCGTACCTTCCCTTAGTCTGTTCCACATTATCTGTTGCTATAACTGTTCTCTTAACAGTTTTCATTTTGTTGCATCGAAATTAAAGCCAGCTGTGATAGCAACAAAGCCACGGCGACGTAAAATGCAACTTCCGTGTGTCGCATTGTGCGCATCCGTGCAAATAGGTGTGCATGATGTGTACGCGCTGTGCAGGGAATTAAGAATTTAATAATCTCTAATACTACATCTAATAAACCAGGAGTGATCTCCCATAAACTTTCTCGAATAGTCTTATATAACACTACGGGGGATGGCAACTCGGGATATAGAATATTCTTAATTACTTAAACTTTTTAAAATAGAATAGAATGTCGTAGAAAAAAGAATTGTGTACCCGGTGAACGGCATAAAATATGCGTAAAATAGTTTGGAATATGATTAGTACTTTACAAATTCACATGCCCTTGTTGAGAGTTCGGAAACATCGTAAATTACTACTTCCGGTCAATGGAAATTACTCAAACTTTGAAAGAAGGCCGTGAATTAGAACTTTTACTTACATGTGAAATTTCATTTATCTGTCTGAAACAGTACTCAAGTTATTGGCTTTTGAAAAAATGTTTTTTTTTATATTATATGATTCAACATTTCAAAAAAACATTGCCTTTGATAAAAAGACTCGATATCAAAACACAACTGACTGTTAAGTGATTGCAAAAGAATTTGTATAATATAATTGAATTAATGATTGAAATTTTAAATTCAGATACAAGCTATATATATTGTTGGTAGATACATAAGCAACAAGCTGTATAAATATTGTAGGAACATATACTAGCAAAAAGCTGTATATATTGTAAGTACATATACTCAGTGGTGTAGCGAGGTTGGGTGTCACCCTTTGCGGCACTTAATGTAGTTAACCCCCAGAGACGTAGCGACCCTTCAAACTTTCGATTTGCACCCCCCCCCCCCTCAAACTTTCGATTTGCACCTCTTAAAAGACTATTTAGCACTCGAATTAATCACTTAATTAAGTGGAATTATCATTTTTCTCTATATATTTTGCTATTTTTTTTTGCCTTGGTGTCACCCCCCCCTAAATGGTGTCACCCGGTGCAGTCCGCACCTCCCGCCCCTTCCCCCCATCGCTACGCCTCTGCATATACTAGCAACAAGCTGTATATATTAAACTAAGTTGTTTTATGTGTCGCTGGTGTTATCTGTAACGTTTACCTTTGTTTTTTGACTGCAGGCCTATTTGCTAAAATTGGTGTACAATAAAAAATATTCCATTTTATAAAATCTCGATATTTTATAAAATAAAGCAACGCGATTGCATTCAACAACTAAGTTTGTAAACTGTTTATTTACATTGTTTCTAAAAAATATAAAATATTTCAAGTTAAATGTTGTGCTAACATGATGTGCTATTTTTACATTGCTTATTTTACTTGTTCTCATTTTTTAAATGTAATTTTAAACAACTGTTTCGTGCTGTGTTTTAAGTAGATAACTCTTAACGCCGTAGATTCGCCTTTACGTTGATGTGTTGATAGTTGCGCCCCTGATAACCCACTGTTGTCTGCCTGTCTTGACGCTGGACCCACCCTCCCTTCGTCCTGGTCTTTTCCTAAATACCGTCCCTCGGTGCCGCTGCGTCAGGGGTGCTCGAACCCTGGCCGTTGACCGAGGTTTTTCTCGCTCGTTTGCTGGTGTTTTCTGGTAACGTCTCGAGATGTAGACGACGTCTTCTCTCCCGTACCACATTCAAGACCGTCTTTTTAATCTTTGAATTAGTAAATCTCGCCGAGACCTGTAGTATGGGGGGGGGGGGGAGGAGTTAAGACAGCTTTACTCTCGGGGAAATAAAATAAAAAACTCCAAAAATTTAAAATGGTAGATACCCGATAGGTTGTGTTGTTAATGTGTGTAGTAAATGGTGCCATCACATACTCACCGTAACACGAATCAGATGTTTACTTTGTCGAACAAGCCGTAGAAATGCCGTGTCTATTCTGTCTGTCGTGTCTATATCTAGCTGCAGCTTGACCAGAGTGCCACTGTAGACCAGATAACAGTAGAATGTAACAAAGACAAAAGTAGAATGTAACAAAGATTTCAGTAGAATGTAACTAAGGCAAAAGTAGAATGTAACAAAGACAACAGTAGAATGTAACAAAGATTTCAGTAGAATGTAACTAAGGCAAAAGTAGAATGTAAGAAAGACAACAGTAGAATGTAACGAAGATAATAGTAGAATGGTACAAAGACAACAGTAGAATGTAAGAAAGACAACAGTAGAATGTAACAAAGACAACGGTAGAATGTAACTAAGACAACAGTAGAATATATATATATATATATATATATATATATATATATATATATATATATATATATATATATATATATATATATACATCCTCTTTACTTCTTTTCTACAAAGTCTGTACTAGACTTTTGTCTCGCATAGCACGTTAATTTCTAGCCACTCTTGTAAACCATAGTTTGCTATAATACATTTCTTTTTTTCGTTCGCTAATGTCATCCTGATATTACAACGACATTTTGTGGTCAAACTGCCACCCTCACCTACTCACGAGCCATAGATACCAACATACAAACACATTCACATACACATACACTAAGAATCATTATTTCACCTACCTAAAGTTTTCCGTGATGTGCTTAAGGACCGCTGACATAGACGTTCTATTTCTGGGGCCGAAGCCAACGACACCCACCCGAATGTCGTAGATGGGCAGTATCGAATCCAACTTAGCGATCATCACGTCCGGTACGCTGTATCCGAAAAACGCCACTTGCATTTCTGGGCTAGCTACCGTCTGTGTCAAGAGAGAGATTTTAAAATTAAAATTTATGTTCAACATAGGCAACCCTGTGTACCTTCTGGTGTGTAAACCACACTTAGGCTCAATTTATTGTTTTAATTTTGGAACATTTTATTTTAACGTCATGTAAAGATGTTTTATTGGGTAGTGAGAATCAAAGCAGGTACGGTACTTACTTCCATGGCCTCACCAGAATACCCACCCCACTAAACCCTCACCACAATACCCACCCCACTAAACCCTCAACACAATACCCACCCCTCTAAACCCTCACCAAAATACCCACCCCACTAAACCCTCACCACAATATCCACCCCACTAAACCCTCACCACAATACCCACCCCACTAAACCCTCACCACAATACCCACCCCACTAAACCCTCACCACAATACCCACCCCACTAAACCCTCACCACAATACCCACCCCACTAAACCCTCACTACAATACCCACCCCACTAAACCCTCACCACAATACCCACCCCACTAAACCCTCACCACAATACCCACCCCACTAAACCCTCACCACAATACCCACCCCACTAAACCCTCACCACAATACCCACCCCACTAAACCCTCACCACAATACCCACCCCACTAAACCCTCACCACAATACCCACCCCACTAAACCCTCACCACAATACCCACCCCACTAAACCCTCACCACAATACCCACCCCACTAAACCCTCACCACAATACCCACCCCACTAAACCCTCACTACAATACCCACCCCACTAAACCCTCACCACAATACCCACCCCACTAAACCCTCACCACAATATCCACCCCACTAAACCCTCACCACAATACCCATCCCACTAAACCCTCACCACAATACCCACCCCATTAAACCCTCACCAAAATACCCACCCTATTAAACCCTCACCACAATACCCACCCTATTAAACCCTCACCACAATACCCACCCTATTAAACCCTCACCACAATACCCACCTCACTAAACCCTCACCACAATACCCATCCCACTAAACCCTCACCAGAATACCCACCCCATTAAACCCTCACCAAAATACCCACCCTATTAAACCCTCACCACAATACCCACCCTATTAAACCCTCACCACAATACCCACCCTATTAAACCCTCACCACAATACCCACCCCACTAAACCCTCACCACAATACCCACCCCACTAAACCCTCACCAAAATACCCACCCCACTAAACCCTCACCAAAATACCCACCCCACTAAACCCTCACCACAATACCCACCCCACTAAACCCTAACCACAATACCCACCCCACTAAACCTTCACTACAATACCCACCCCACTAAACCCTCACTGCAATACCCACCCCACTAAACCCTCACCACAATACCCACCCCACTAAACCCTCACACAATACCCACCCCACTAAACCCTCACCAACACAACCTTACCAACGTATCCTTACCAACATACCCTCACTACATACCCTAACCAACTTACCCTAACCATTAATGTCTCACCATTGTCCTCTCACCTAACCATTAATGTCTCACCATTGTCACCTCACCTAGCCATTAATGTCTCACCATTGTCCTCTCACCTAACCATTAATGTCTCACCATTGTCCTCTCACCTAACCATTAATGTCTCACCATTGTCCTCTCACCTAACCATTAATGTCTCACCATTGTCCTCTCACCTAACCATTAATGTCTCACCATTGTCCTCTCACCTAACCATTAATGTCTCACCATTGTCCTCTCACCTAACCATTAATGTCTCACCATTGTCACCTCACCTAACCATTAATGTCTCACCATTGTCCTCTCATCTAACCATTAATGTCTCACCATTGTCCTCTCACCTAACCATTAATGTCTCACCACTGTCCTCTCACCTAACCATTAATGTCTCACCATTATCCTCTCACCTAACCATTAATGTCACCTAACCATTAATGTCACCTAACCATTAATGCCTCACCATTGTCCTCTCACCTAACCATTAATGTCTCACCATTGTCACCTCACCTAACCATTACTGTCTCACCATTGTCCTCTCACCTAACCATTAATGTCTCACCATTGTCCTCTCACCTAACCATTAATGTCTCACCATTGTCACCTCACCTAACCATTAATGTCTCACCATTGTCCTCTCACCTAACCATTAATGTCTCACCACTGTCCTCTCACTAATATTCCATCGTTCCCATGTCCTCAGCACAAAATTCCCTCACACAATACCATCCCCTCATACCATCTCTGTGTCTTGTTGTGCTTTTAATGTGCATAAGTTATATATAACGTTTTCATATTATCCCACCATATCAAATGTTGTGATGTTATGGTGCTTCATGATGCGATTTGTTATGTTGCTGTTTTTTTGTCTTGTTGTCTTGCGCTTTTAAACTTGTATGTTTTGTTGTTTATATTCAGCTGTGTTGCGCTCAACTCAAACGGTTCACACAAAAAATAATGAATTACTCACCAAATTTCGCCAAGAATTATGTGTCACTTTAGGCACAGTACACCGCACATCCATGTCAAACATTTTCAATCTCTTTAGTTTTGTATTTGATTTGGAGAGCGCATTAATGAAGACGTCGTTTAAAATAAAGTAGTCGATCCCCAGTTTTGTCAAGTTCTTCAGAGAAAGTATACCATTGGTCAGTTGGTCAAAATCAGCCGGTTTCTGGCCAAACTTTGGTGGCAGAAAAAAACCGTGGATCATCAGAGATTCAAGTGTACCCTTACACACGGTCAACACGGTGTTGAGAACTTTTTTACCAGCAGTCACTCGCCATAACGCTAAAGGCATTTTGAAATGTTGCAGGCAAGGGTTTCGAGTCAGAAAGCGCGTCAGAATCGAAGCCAAACTCATCATTATTGGACTACTTACGCCGAAAAGTTTAACGCCGAATATATTTAGCGACGTCAAACTCGTTGCGTGTAAATTAAGCAACATTTTTCTTACGCAGACCGCCATGTTTTTGCAGAAGTTATTTTTATGATGAAGACAATGGATGATCAATTCCCGGAGATAGCTCCCAAACCGGCTAGCGTACCAGTAAGTTCTTACGTTCTGCGCAGAATGAAGCCTGCATGTTAGCTTCAGGTACATTTCGCGCCATAATCCTGGCGACGTGTTGATTAAATTTCTCCAAGATGTGCATACATACGCTAATCTGGTCAGGTCTTTGAAGTCAAGGAAACTAAAAATGTGCAAAAGAACGTCATTAGGTAGCTGCTCTGTCAGATTGAAGGTGTTTGAAGGTTTATTTAATGTTCTCGCGTACCTCTCGTTTGAGTCCCTTAGATCTATAACATCTGCAGTTGCTATGTGAGTCTTTTTAATTTTGTGTTTCATTTTCACTTGACACTAGTGTGGACGCTCACTGACAGAAAACAAACCGTAATATAAACACCAGCATTTCGTATCTTCACGATCTTATCTTGAGGCGACCATGTAGGTGTGATTAAACAAAAAGTTTCCTTTAGTTTTCTTGACGTGCAAGAAGGTGCGCTTGCTATGGTGTGTAAACATGTTGAATGTCTATTTTGCAAGATTAAAAACTAAATATATTACACTATAAATAGTCACTCAGCTTTAATTTAAAATCGCGTACTAAGAAAGATAAATAATTTTAATGTTTAATTTAGTTTAGTCCCCGAGTTTGAGGTTATTACAGTATTAATTGTATCACACCTATGATCAAAGCCGGACACAGCGCTTGTGATCAAACACCAGTTGATAGACCACCTGTGATCAAAGACCCTCTGCTGAGAAAATACATGTGGTCAAACCCCCTATGATCAAAACCCCTATGGTCAAAGCACCGCTATGGTAAAAGCTCCGCTGTGGTCAAACCCCCTATGGTCAAACCCCTATGGTCAAAGCACCTGTGGTCAGAAGTCCTAGGACCCTGATCATAACGTATTTAGCCTGAAGAGACTGTAAATATTCTTCACACCCCATTCAATAAAAGCGCTTGTTAAATGGTATTGGTTTATTATTGGTCTTGTACTTAAAGGTACTAGTTTGTTTTGTTACATTATTTGTGTATTTTATTTTTTAAATCACAGTTAACAACGTTAAATAGACAAACGTAATTTGTAAGAACTGTCAACATACAACACATTAATTTATATATAGTATGTTTATTAAAGACTTGGCTGAGTATGTCATGCCAAAATGGATTTATTTTGAAATATAAATAATTTACTTCTTAATTTGATTTTTGATTTTTTAAATGATTTAAATGATGTATGTGACTCAATAGCTACAGCTGGACTCCGTGACTGTTATTTTAACATCTGTGTCTTGACCTTTTGAGAGTAGACCCTGATTCTTGACCCAGGGTAGTCCCACCCTCCCAGCATGTTCGGTCATCCTCCATGTAACATTCATCGGAGTCGTGGCATCAGCGGTACTCGAACCTTAGCCGTCGTCCACGTTTGTTCTTAGTCGTTTGTGCACTGATTCTCGTAGCTGTCTTCTTTTTTCTATTATTTTTAGGGCAATCTTTTCTGTCCATGGGGCATCAAAGTGGGCTGAGACCTGCGATATATGGAGGCGATAATGAAATCTGTATTATGGGGAGGGGTTAATGAAATATGTATTATGGGGAGTGGATAAAGAAATCTGTATTATGTGGAGTGGATAATGAAATCTGTATTATGGGGAGTGGATAAAGAAATCTGTATTATGGGGAGTGGATAAAGAAATCTGTATTATGGGGAGTAGAAAATGAAATCTGTATTATGGGGAGTGGATAATGAAATCTGTATTATGGGGAGTGGATAATGAAATCTGTATTATGGGGAGTGGATAATGAAATCTGTATTATGGGGAGTGGATAAAGAAATATGTATTATGGGGAGTAGAAAATGAAATCTGTATTATGGGGAGTGGATAATGAAATCTGTATTATGGGGAGTGGATTGGGAAATCTGTATTATGGGGAGTGAATAGGGAAATCTGTATTATGGGGAGTGGATAGGGAAATCTGTATTATGGGGAGTGGATAGGGAAATCTGTATTATGGGGAGTGGATAGGGAAATCTGTATTATGGGGAGTGGATAGAGAAATCTGTATTATGGGGAGTGGATAATGAAATCTGTATTATGGGGAGTGGATAAAGAAATCTGTATTATTGGGAGTGGATAAAGAAATCTGTATTATGGGGAGTGGATAATGAAATCTGTATTATGGGGAGTGGATAATGAAATCTGTATTATGTGGAGTTGATAATGAAATCTGTATTATGGAGAGTGGATAATGAAATCTGTATTATGGGGAGTGGATTGGGAAATCTGTATTATGGGGAGTGGATAAAGAAATCTGTATTATGGGGAGTAGAAAATGAAATCTGTATTATGGGGAGTGGATAATGAAATCTGTATTATGGGGAGTGGATTGGGAAATCTGTATTATGGGGGGTAGATAATGAAATCTGTATTATGGGGAGTGGATAATGAAATCTGTATTATGGGGAGTGGATAATGAAATCTGTATTATGGGGAGTGGATAATGAAACCTGTATTATGGGGGGTAGATAATGAAATCTGTATTATGGGGAGTGGATAATGAAATCTGTATTATGGGGAGTGGATAATAAAATCTGTATTATGGGAAGTGGATAATAAAATCTGTATTATGGGGAGTGGATAATGAAACCTAAAATATGGGGAGTGGATAATGAAACCTAAAATATGGGGAGTGGATAATGAAATCTGTATTATGGGGAGTGGATTGGGAAATCTGTATTATGGGGAGTGAATAGGGAAATCTGTATTATGGGGAGTGGATAGGGAAATCTGTATTATGGGGAGTGGATAGGGAAATCTGTATTATGGGGAGTGGATAGGGAAATCTGTATTATGGGGAGTGGATAGAGAAATCTGTATTATGGGGAGTGGATAATGAAATCTGTATTATGGGGAGTGGATAAAGAAATCTGTATTATTGGGAGTGGATAAAGAAATCTGTATTATGGGGAGTGGATAATGAAATCTGTATTATGGGGAGTGGATAATGAAATCTGTATTATGTGGAGTTGATAATGAAATCTGTATTATGGAGAGTGGATAATGAAATCTGTATTATGGGGAGTGGATTGGGAAATCTGTATTATGGGGAGTGGATAAAGAAATCTGTATTATGGGGAGTAGAAAATGAAATCTGTATTATGGGGAGTGGATAATGAAATCTGTATTATGGGGAGTGGATTGGGAAATCTGTATTATGGGGGGTAGATAATGAAATCTGTATTATGGGGAGTGGATAATAAAATCTGTATTATGGGGAGTGGATAATGAAATCTGTATTATGGGGAGTGGATAATGAAACCTGTATTATGGGGGGTAGATAATGAAATCTGTATTATGGGGAGTGGATAATGAAATCTGTATTATGGGGAGTGGATAATAAAATCTGTATTATGGGAAGTGGATAATAAAATCTGTATTATGGGGAGTGGATAATGAAACCTAAAATATGGGGAGTGGATAATGAAACCTAAAATATGGGGAGTGGATAATGAAATCTACAGTATGGAGATGGGCAGACTGACGAACATCAAGCTGACTCGGGTCAGATCCAAACTCGAGACTGGCGGGTTAGCAGACGAGCTCGCTACCCCCTGGCCACATAGTCCCATAGACTTACATGTACATAGAGCAGCTGTTTACACTGTTGAACCAGCTGTATTAGTTCCTTGTCAATCCCATCCGCGTTGTTAACATCAAGACTCAGCTTGGCCAGACTCTGACTGTGGATAATATAGAGAATTAATTAATTCATAAAAAATTAATTAGGCATCCAATTAAGTCAAATTTAATGTCATAATGCATTGTCTTCATGTCTTGACCCACGTGCCAATTACGAACCGTATCTGTCAGTTAGAAGTGTCCGAATTTTCGCTCCGGCGTTTCGATCTAGACAGACAGACAGAGGAAGTGAGTGTAATAAAAGCTTGTAAAAATGGAACAGTTTTCTTCCCCTTTGCTCACAATAATTACATTTCTTGCTTCCTGTCATTAAGTTTCGAATGAATACTAATATAGAAATATTTAGTCCTTTTTTAAAAATTGTTAAAAATTCTTCTAAACTGTAGTCTGTAATCAGTGTCTAAAAATAAAAATATAATGTAATCGGTGCTGTGTTATGCGTGGCCTAGCAGTAGAGCGCTAGACTGCTAACCCGAAAGTCTCGCGTTCGAATCCGGGTTCAAGTCAGTGGAACCTTCCTGGGTTCACCCACATCTGATAGGTACCTAACAGTTATTAGGAAAGTTAAGGCGACTGGGCAAAGTGCTGACAACGTTATCCCTTCATATGCCGAGGTCAAGATACACATGAACTCTACTGCACCTGTCCAATCTCTGGATATACAGTAGGACTCTGGACATACAGTAGAGCTCTGGACATACAGTAGGGCTCTGGACATACAGTAGGGCTCTGGGCATACAGTAGGGCTCTGGACATACAGTAGGGCTCTGGACATACAGTAGGGCTCTGGACATACAGTAGGGCTCTGGACACTAAAAGTAGGGCTCTGGACACTAAAAGTAGGGCTCTGGACACTAAAAGTAGGGCTCTGGACACTAAAAGTAGGGCGCTGGACACTAAAAGTAGGGCTCTGGACACTAAAAGTAGGTCTCTGGACACTAAAAGTAGGGCTCTGGACACTAAAAGTAGGTCTCTGGACATACAGTAGGGCTCTGGACATACAGTAGGGCTCTGGAAACTAAACGTAGGGCTCTGCACACAACAATAGGGCTCTGCTCGGTGCACAAATAGGTTACTTAACCCACTCATACACACACACTCACACATATACACGCACGCTTTAAGTCATAATCACACAATCACGAACGTTCATACGGACACACACGCACACACACACTCCCACTTAGTGACACACCCTCAAGCACACACACTCACACACAAACATATAAAAACACATCCACACACGCACGTTCACACACACACACACGACCAAGAGTTCTCTAACCTGAAGTTGGTTCTTATCTGATTCAACGCCCCCCGCACATCCAGCGCATTCCCTACTCTATACTCTATCCGGACATCATACACCGGCAACACTGGATCCAACATGGCTAGAACTACGTCACGTGAGTCGATGAAAGTGTTACAAACAAGGTGCAGCGCTACTTTCAGATCTGGGCAACCGTTTGTCTGTATCGAAGAAACGAGATAATGGGAAACGTCATTCATTGGAATATTGTAGACTGACAGATCTTAAACTAGATGTGTGCGTTATACCTCAGCGAGCTTCACGGTTAAACAGAAATTAAAAATGATAATAAGAACGAGCCGGCCCGCGGCATAACATACGCCGCTATTTAGTTGTTTCTAATTTTCAATAATTCATAATTTGTGAATTCGACAGTACCAACGCTGACACTGAAAATATTTCTTTAAAACACTATAAGTAGCTCGTTAAGGACCATAACCCCCCCCCCTTCCTTCCCTCCCCCCCCCCCCCTCCTCCCCCCCCCCCCCCCTACGTTTAAAATCGTTGGCTCTGCTTGTAAACATTTAGAGTGAACACAGCTCACTAAAACCATGTAGGGGTGGGGAGGTAGGGAGAGCGTTTGCAGCTTGTTTTCTAACGGCTCGAAGAAGAGAATTATATATATAGATAATGATAATGATTATAGTTGAAATAATATTAATAACAATCATCATAGTAATGGTTATTATTAATTTTATTGTTATTATTATTAGTAGTAGTAGTATTAGTTTTATTATTATTATTATTATTATTAGTAGTAGTAGTAGTAGTAGTAGTAGTAGTAGTAGTAGTAGTAGTAGTAGTAGTAGTAGTAGTAGTAGTAGTACTATTATTGCTATTATTATTAGTAGTAGTAGTATTAGTATTAGTAATATTATTATTATTATTATTACTATTATTATTATTATTATTATTATTATTATTATTATTATTATTATTATTATTATTATTATTATTATTATTATTATTATGGTCATTATTATTATTATGGTCATTATTATTATTATTATTATGGTCATTATTATTAATATTAAAAATATTCTCTTACTGATAGGAACAAACTAATAACTTAATTAATTAAAAGATACAAATTATTATATTTAATGTTTCTCTGTACCTGAGGTCTTTGTGGCGAGGATTACCCCCCCCCCCCCCCCGCCTTCCTCTATACATTGTATACTCTACTCACACCTCCACGTTTCCAACACCTAAACACCAAAAGGTCTTTAGAAAAGTAATGTAATTACCAAATTTTCCCACGAATTGTGTGTGACTTTTATCGAATAACACGAAGCGCCGTTATCAAACAGTTTTAGTTTCCTTAATTTTGCATTGGATCTGGACAGCGCATCAACAAAAGCATCTGTCAAAATAAAGTAGTCGATGCCCAGTTTTGTCAGGCGGTTGAGAGCAAGGATGCCGTTGGTCAGTTGGTCAAACTCAACCGGTCTCTGGTCGATATTGACTTGCATGAAAAAGCCATCGATCATCAGAGATTGTAGAGTTCCCCTGGATTTTGATAACACCGTGTCGAGAATTCTGCCACCTTCTGGAATCGGCCATTGCGCTATCGGCATTCCAAACTGCTGTAGTTGGTCGCAGCGTGACAGAATGCGCGTCAGGATCTGGATGATACTGGATAAAACTGTCGATCTAGCGCCTCTACACTGTAGGTCAGTTATCACCAATGACGTCAGATCCGCTTGATGTAAATTCAGTAAAAGTTTCCTGAGGCACACGGCCATGGTGTCGCAATGGATGTGCTTGTTAGCATGCAAACAGCTGATAGTGAGGTCTTGGACGTGCTCACCAAATCTCGCGGCGTACCAGCAAGCTGCTTCATTGTGTTTGGACTGTCGTCTGCAAGACAACTTCAGGTGCATGCTCTTCCAAAACCTGGGCGTGCCGTGGATCGAATCTCGCCAGAGTTTACATACCGTCGCAAGTCTCATCAAATCTTTGATGTCAAAATACTCGAAGATTTTCACAAAAATGTCTTGTGGCAACTGGTTCTGCTTACACAAGACACTGGAATTTAATTTTAGATCGTACATTTTCTTTGTCTGCTCCTTTGTGGGAGTGTTCCTTGATGTTGTCGTTGTATTGAAACCACTATTAACAGAAAAAATGACAACAGCACCAATACAGACGTGTTGATTTTTGACGATGTAAAATTCAACTTCCTTTTGCCGCGTTGTGCGCACCCGTGCAGTGTATGGTGCACCAACTATGGTGTGCAAATGTTGGCTGCTGATGTGAGCATTTGTCAAAATAAAGCTGGGGTTAGATCCCCGTAACTTTCTAGTGTATTCTTATATTGCATTAAGAGTTGGAATGGCACTAGACTATTCCTATATTGTAGTAACTGTTCTAGTTGGCAATTCCAGTGCAATCGGGGAATAGAAATAAAAACTTGTGACAAGAGAGATCTTTTTTAAAAAAGAAAACAAAACAAAAAATAATTAGGATTTGCTTGATACGAATTTAATATAACACGTTCAAATTATAAAGCTTTTGAGACAAAAAAGAATAAAATAAACCAAACCTTCACAGTTATCGGGAATCGTTAAAAGTTGAAAGAAATCTTAGTATATTGCTATATTGACCCATTTTAATAAACAAATACCTTCAACAAAGGCCCCTAGTTTTTATTTTATCTCAGTACAAATGTCCCTAACGTATGTACCTATAAACACGATGCATCTAATGTGCACACTCCACACAACATGTGGTGTTGGTGGCTGATGATTTATATGGCTTGGACGATAGCTTTGTTATAGATCGTTCTGTTTTATTATAATTAATATAAAACAAAGTGATTTTTTTTTCTAAAATCGGTGTAAACAAAATAAAAAATAAAAAATAAAACACTTCTAACAGAATTTAAATAAAAACTGCATATAAATATATCCAACATTTTTTTTGTATATGGTGTATTTATTAAATATTTTTAAACTTAACATAATTTGTCTTGGTAGAATGGAGTACTCATTGTTTATTTAAGCACAAAAAAATGTGTTTACCATTATTTAAAATGAACTACTTGATGTTAGTGTCTGATTCTAGGCCCGGGATACTGATCGTTGGTCGTCACTGTGATCGCCCTCAATATTCTATGTCTATGTTACCGTGGTATGGGATGTATTCGAACCTAGGCATCAGGCGGATTTGCTCTCACACGTTTCTTGCTACTTCCTGGAAGGTCCCTGACAGAGAGGTCGCGTCTTCTTTGTTCTACCAGTGCCATGGCTATCCTGGCAGTCTCAAGGTCAACAAAGTTAGCCGACACCTGAAACATGAAGGAGGGGGGTGAGGGGCGGGGTTAACATAGCTGTGCTTTTGGGTTAATAGACTACGCTGAAAAAATTGGAAGAAATCTCGAAATAAATTTACATATAGGTGCTAACGAGGATGAGAATCGGCCTGTTGCCTTGACTAGTTTTAAGTTTCAATTTAGATCCCCTTTCATACCTAAAGTTGTATTGGGCAGATGAAGTAGAGTTCATGTGGCTTGACTTGGGCTTAGGTAGTGGTCATGTAGTCAGCATTATGCCCAGCAGTATTTACTTTCCCAAACGTGAGCCAGGCACCTATTATCGCTGGGTGGTCTCAGGGACGTCCTACAATCCGGATTCAGGACCGAGATCCGAACTCAAGACCCTTCGGGATAATAGCCGAACGCCCTACCATTTTACCACATCGTCCCATTAGACTTACGTTTAGGTGAACCAAATGTTTACATTGCCGAACAAGTCCTAAGAATTCGGTGTCACTTCTGCCACTGCTGTTCAAATCCAACTCCAGCTTTACTAGACAATGACTGTGGATCAGTTAGCGAATAATAGATCAGTTATTTTCCTTGTGCTTGTGATAAACTACATTGCCTGTATTCTGGCAATGGTCGCGAATTTATACCGATTTAGAGAAATGTAGACATTATATTCTTTGTCGGTTAAATTATTATTACTACGTTAAAATTAAGGTAACTGGCATCGTGTCAGTTTCAATATCTAGAGCTACGCCCTCTTCCCCGTTCTTCTTTGCTGTGAAGATTGTACAACAACGACTATAATGTAGAGCTTAGTTCTGTACAACCTAGCCCTAGCCCTAGCCCTAGCCCTAGCCCTAGCCCTAGCCCTAGCCCTAGCCCTAGCCCTAGCCCTAGCCCTAGCCCTAGCCCTAGCCCTAGCCCTAGCCCTAGCCCTAGCCCTAGCCCTAGCCCTAGCCCTAGCCTTAGCCCTAGCCCGAGCCCTAGCCCTAGCCCTAACCCTTATCCTTATCCTTACCCTTACCCTTACCTTACCCTTATTCTAGTCATAGCTCTATTACTAGCCATAGTGATAGTGATAGCGATAGCGATAGCCATGGCCATGGCCATGGCCATGGCCTTGGTCATGGTCATGGTCATGGTCATGGTCATGGTCATGGTCATGGTCATGGTCATGGTCATGGTCATGGTCATGGTCATGGTCATGGTCATGGTCATGGTCATGGTCATGGTCATGGTCATGGTCATGGTCATGGTCATGGTCATGGTCATGGTCATGGTCATGGTCATGGTCATGGTCATGGTCATGGTCATGGTCATGGTCATGGTCATGGTCCTAAACCTAACCCTAAATCTAAACGTAACCCTAAATCTAAACCTAACCTTAAATCTAAACCTAACCCTAAATCTAAACCTAACCCTAAATCTAAACCTAACCCTAAATCTAAACCTAACCCTAACATATCGTTAGCTCTAATCCTGTCCCTAACTTAATAGGTAGGAAAAGTGGTTCCAAAAGTGGTTCCACTTTGTGTTGCCAGAAAGCATATTTTTGAACCAAAATTGAATATTTTAAAATATTTGTGAAATAAGTACAAAGTCACTTCCGGTTTTACTAAAGCTAAAAATATTTAAACACAAAATTACTAATACTATAATAGTAATTTACAAAACATTTTAATTTTAATTTGGATTAGTATAGTCAGGGTGTTGTGGTGAAAGGGGATGTTATATTATTTAATATAAATAAACTACTAGGCTATATTCCATTGTAATAATAAGTAAAGCGTAATTAATATCAACAGTTTCTTCTTCTTCTTCGTTCTTAATTATTAGTGTTGAAGGGGATCGAGATTTATCTGCCAGTGGGTTTGAACTCGAGACTTTGTTCGAATTTATCAACCATGAGCTTTTTTCCGACTCGACCACGCCTCCAACACAATTAAGCGTTACGTGTCAACTGGTTATGCGCCATTGAGGCCGTTGACTCCGATTTCAGCCTGCTTTTCTTTTTGGATTTGCTTCCATAGCCTTTGTCCAACCAAGAACAAACTACAAGGCAGCAGTTGTTTAATTTTGGAGTTGTCTCTCCTAGAAGAGTGGCTGTCCCCAGCTAACGAGCCTCATCTGCCCGAGGGTTCGAACTCGAGACTTTTCGGTTTAGCAACCATGAGCTTTACCGACTCGACCACGCCGACCCATCAACAGTTTAATATAAGCCTAATCAATCTAGATCGACCTCTGACTATGGGGTCATCTATTAACGATGTCACAACGATGCCAGACTCCCCCCTTCCCCAAAAAAAGTAAACCTAAGCCCCCCTCCCCCCCCCCCCCCCCCCCCCCGCTATTGCAGCGATTTTCATAAAGTATTTAGACCTATGGGCTTTTCCAACATTCAATGTAAGCCTATTGATTAATTATTTTATAACAATTTATAAAACAACTTTTAATAATGCAAATAAAGGCTTAGATTCAGTTTCTTAACATGAGTGTTTGTTGAACATTGAAAAGTGTCATCTTACTTTCTGAACCCCCTCCCGCCCTTGACACAAAGGTCCAGATCTCCCCCACCACCTCAAAGTCTGATGGACGACCACTACAGCATTTTGCTATTATTTATAGGATATTCATTAATTAGTCATACAAACCCAATTACATTTGTTGCTGTGATGGTATCTCTGTCTTTACAATTATTAAATAGTTAATCTTAACTCAACATTTCCCCTAAGCTCATTTGCTATAGCTGCCTATCCTTATAGAAAACATCTTTTCCTCAAATATCTGGAATGCATCTGATCAGCAAGTCTTCTTCTTTTGTAATATATAACATGTTCATAAACTTGCACGGCCAATAACAACACATTACCAGGAAACAGGCAGTGATTATAGTTTGCTGTATTTGTGGTTGATGGTTAGTTATCAGCCATGCTTCACTAAGCCTGGTCCACATTTATATGCTGGTATGGCTAGAATTGACAAAAACCCATATGCTTGATTCTTCCCTTATCATTAAGTTTTACATCTATGATATATATATATGCAAATGTAAGGCTTAGAGTGGGACTACATATTTGTGAACACATTTGCTAAAGCAAAAGTTCTTGAGTTGAAATTTTAATCCTTTAGGTTGTCTCTGATTCAAATTCAAAGCAGCTTTAACCTTAACTGGTACCTGACTGGTTATAGACAGTAAAACTTAGTAAAAGCTGTTTGACATTTTGCTGACCATAAAATTTATTAATATGGAGAGGCAACAAAACTAGGTGAAATCTACTTCAGCCCCATATTCTTAAAAACTATTTATAGTTCGCCAGTTTAAGTTATTTGTTGAATTAAGGTAGCAATAATTAGTTTCCGCTTACACCAGCACACACAACCAGTGCTGAAAAAAAAAATAAACATAACAAAGTTTATGATTTTCTTTTTTTAATTACCATATTCATACAGAACTAACATAATAAAAAATAGTTGTTCAATATGAACAAGTTTTCTTGGGTCCAACATGTATCCTTGGATCAGTTTTTAAATTGAGCTTCATCTTGACTATTGTCTTCTCTGTATGCAGTTGTATAATCCACAGTATCTAAAAAAACATAAATAAATTTCATAAACTGTTATATTAAACTCATTAATATTTACATACTTTCAACTCTCAATGTTATAAATAAAAATATTTGTCCATCTTATAAAGATCATAAAGCAATGATGTGTATTTATGTATTGGATTGTATGGGCCATCTAACCATTACCATTCATTGAAACTATAGGTCTAATAGTTTACTTTTAATATTTTAATGTAAGGAGTTTGTCATTAAATACAATAGGCCTTCAAAAGAGTCCAAAAGTCATGTATATACCATTTTAAAAAAAAGAAAAGGTATCAATAAAGATCTACTACTTATGTTTTGCCACGTCAGGAATTAGTTGAAAATTGATATTCAAACTAGGCTACTATAACTATCATTAATTCATGCACATACTAAAATAAATATTAGGATAATTATATTAATTTGATTTGTAAGTTAATCCATCTATGACAAGTGACACCTTTTGGCTTTATCAACTATTCTGCATTTTAAGTTCTAAAGATCACTACATAAAACTAAGAGTAGACTAAGTCATATATTAAGTTAATTAAGTAGAACTAAAATAAGACAGCTATTTACTAGTAAGCCTACTCTTCTATTCAGTAATTTTTACTATTATATTAGAGGCCTAAAATTACTGTTAGACTACTAATCTAGATTAAACTTAAATTTTGGATATTATTTAATGTACTAGTCTGTAACCTTTTATTTAGGCTACATGTAATTTTTACAGTTTAAAATTGTAGCCTTATTAAGCCTAGTTAACTTTGTTTAACTTACATACTAATACTAAATACCTACCCTATCACAGGCCTACTAGACTACTACTAAGCTACTACATGTAAATCTACAGTCTAGATAGGCCTACTGAAACTAGAAGTAATATGACAACTGTAAAAATTAAGCATACTTTATTTTTTTTACAATACTATTTTAAGCCTATAGGGGTATAGACCTACTGTTATTAAATATGAATCTATTAGTTCGACTAACATAAGTCATCGTAAGTCTAATTAGTAATTACCTTTAACTAGGCCCTAATCATAATAACAATGTAATTGGAGTATTAGGACTGTCGTCTGTACCATAGCCTAAATTATCTTAAATAAAATGTATTTTGTACAGATCTAGTAATTTAGTAAGTATTAACTATTAAAATTAAATTAATATATAGAAATTATTGGCCTACTAAATAATTGATTCACTAATGTCATGATTTTGCAATTATGAGGTTGTGTGTATTATAATATACCTAGTAACTGAGTAACTATACTTACTAATACTACTTACTACTATAGTAAATATATTTTAACAAGTAGGCTTTAACTAATTAGACTAATCATTTATTAGACTAGGTGTATCTGTAGTGCCCTACTAATTACCAAGGACTAAGATTAACTATTTACTATATGACTAGTCTCTAAAACTAGTCTATACCAGCTACACATTTATAATATAAACTATGGGCCTAATTTATTTAACTTATCTATTATTACTATTAACTTAAAATACTTGAATTATTTAATATAGATTTTTATAAAATATATAACTTCTAGATTCTAGATGTATACTAGTTAACTAGAGTAGATCTCTACTTGACTTATACTAGGGACTTGGATGAAATTTCATTTTTTAAAAAATAAAAAATGTAGTAGCACCAGTTTATAGAGCTCATTTAGACAAGAACAAAGATACTTTTATTTTAAATTTAGCTCAAACGGTTACGAAGTTATGAATTTTTAATGTATTTAATTTTCGGGTTTTTTTACTATGGGGTTTTCTCAATTTTTTGCTTCCCTACTTTTTTGGATGCGAACTAAAATCTCTGTAACTTTTTAAATAGCAGGTATTTTTTAATGAAAATTCACTAAGATCAAGCTTATGATATCAGTAAAAGAGTAAGATAAAAATAATTTAATTGGATGAGAATGATCATAAAAAATAATGTTAACAAAGAGGGTCGCCCCCCTAAAATTTTTGAATAAGCGTCTTTGATAGGCTACACTCAATCTGTTGCCAAATTTTTATTATATGGAATATCTTACTGAAAATTGGCCTGAATAGTGCCAACACTGTATACATTAACAGAAAGTCAAAATATTTTACTTAGCTTATGTGGTTTTATTACAATGTTGGACAAAATAAAAAAGTCATATTTATTCTGCGCAACTACTTTTTTTGCAAGAAAGAAGTACAATGTTGAGCTGATTTTAGATTACTTTGCTTATATGCAAGAAATATTGTAAACATGAAGGTTATTATATACTTTGATATTTCCTTTGTTCAAATTTGATTTTAAAAATATTTTATTTAATGAAAAAGAGGTTTAAACTCATATACCCCCCTTAATTTTAAACAATAAATTCTGCTATAGGCAACACATAATCAGTTGCCAAATTTTTATTATATGGAATATCTTAATGAAAATTGGCCTAATTGGTGCCAAGATTGTATACATCCACACAAAGTAAAAATATTTCACTTAGCTTATGTGGTTTTGTTACAATGTTGGTCAAATTTAAAAAGTCATTTTTGTTCTGCGCAACTACTTTTTTGCAAGAAAGAAGTACAATGCTAAACTGATTTTAGATTACTAAAATTGTATCTAAATGTTGTCAATATGCATGATATTTCATCCCTGTTATGTGTATGTTATCATAGAATTGATATAATTTAATTTACAATTATTGTTGAACAAATAATTTAATAATTGAAATGATTTTTTTTATTGGTGGAGTAATGATCACCATTTAATGTTAAAGGTAAGTTTTATAATTAAGAAACATCTGTCATATATTTAAGTGACATCTCATGCTGTGTGGATAACATGTTTAAGTCTGTTAGCTTGTATCACTTTTTTACTTTAAAAAATAACACCATCAATGATTTAAAAATGAAATCTGATTAAACATCTACTGAAGCTGTGTCTCCTCTGACTGATAGCTTTTAGAACTGTAATAAAAACCAGCAACATCCATTCTTAAGTGGACCTATTTCTCCTTCATTGAAGTTGCTTATGAGTAGATCCACATCTTTTGATTCTCTATCCCCTTGTGAACTGGTACATTTTATCTAGGGCCAAGACTAGTAAAAAAGCAACTGAGATGTATACTACAGCAAAAATACAGTAGTATCATATGTACTTCAAATAGGCCTACAGATGAAGACAGAACATTGTACAAGGATTGTAGTAATTTAGTAATAAATCTAAAACGAACAAAGTCCTAGAGCTATAAAGAAAATATAGGACTCCTAAAATGTTTGAATATTAGTAATATTGGTAATAAAAATTCGCTTGAAAAGCAATCAAAAGGCTAAATGTTTAATATAGAATTACCCTATTGGCCTATATCTTATTATAAGAAAATTTATAGACCAAATGATAGGCAAATGGAATTTTATATTAGATTCTAGATCTAGGCCTATATCAAGCTTTAAAATTTAAGAAAAATGTGGAAAGTACACAAGATACTATAATGATAGCTAATATAAAATATAGAACTCATTCAAGAACAATATAGATCTATATCTAGGCCATACAATTAAAATGAAACAATAATTCAACTTGAAAAATTTTGCAGAAATCTATTTTTAGATCTAACTCAAAATTACAAAAAAAAATGAATCTAAATAGAAAATATGCGCACAAAGTCAACAAAAAATCATAGTTTTATCAATATAAAATATAATTCTATAGTTTAAAATGATTAGAGTAGATCTCTACTTGACTTATAGTATAAGTCTTATACTTAATAGATCTACTGACGTACAATATAAAGTTACTTAACTAACTATAAGATCTATAGTAGTTAGTATAGTATTAGTATTAGTATTATTGAGTATTAAGTATATAAATTAGAATAGATCTAGATCTTGTATTTTTATATTTAATAAATAGGCCTAATTAAACATATTAAAAAGCTGTAACATCCTAGATCTACTACTAGACTAGATCTCTAGATGTCTATATACTATATAGTAGCCTATATTATAGTACAGAAGTATATAGTATATAGTATAGATCTAGATCCAGTATAGGCCTACTAGATCTAGATTCTATCTAGAATAGATCTAGAATCTAGCTAGACTAGATTCTAGACTAGATCTAGAGATCTAATCTAGATCTAGATCTAGATTAGCTAGATCTAGATCTAGATGATAATAGATTCTAGATCTAGAATAGATCTCTAGAGTACTCCTCCTAGAATCTAGTACTAGAATCTAGATTCTCGATATAAATCTATCTAGTCTAGATAATCTAGATCTAGATCTAGAAACTTATAGATCTAGCTCTAGCTTACTGCTTCGAGCACTCACAGAGTGAGTAGTGAGTAGTCACAGGCCACAGGCCTTAAAAAAAAACAATGAAACGTGCGTTAAAAACATTCTACAAAAACATTGGTAACAATTAATAAGAATAATGTTAGATATAAGTAATCTGAGCATAACAGTCATAAAAAAATAAGCCAATTATAATGAAAAGAGATACAAACGAATTTTAAAAGCCTGAATCGAACTGAAAATATTCCCTTGTTCGCCATTTTGTTTTCTTGGATTACCTTGTTCGTATTTATCATGGACAATAAATGTTATGACATTTATCGTTTCACTCTCCCTGGCCACTTCAGTTCAGTTCAAGGTGGGGTTAAGGGCGGTTTTATTAAATATTTAAATTTATACAATAATTCAAAATCATTTTCAACGGCTTATGTTCAACACAAAAATCTGAAAAGGAGTGTAATCGATGGTTCCTTATCGACTTTAATTTTTGAAAATGTAGCTATAATTGTATCGCTTCCTAAATTTTTTAAAATAATTTTTTAAAAATTTAGTATGATTATATAGACTTTTCCTACCTATTGACAGGGAGTGAGGAATAATTAACCGGTGGTAACTGCACATAGGGTAATGTTTTCACATATTTTTCACGATAGGAAATCAGATACTTAAAATATAACCCTAAAGCTCTCTCTAAACTCAAATAGTTAAAACAAATGTATTTGGACTCGTCAAAGTCATTAAAAAACCTAACTGAAAGATTCAGTAAAGACAACAACCAATTTATCGAGAAATTTGACGCGACCTTACTATAACCTCTAGATACAAACAGTGGGTTGCTTTGTCGCGGTGTAAAGTAAAAGTAAAGTTCCCCTTTCAAACCTGACGGTCTATGGGGCAAGTGAAGTAAAGTTCACTTGTTTCTGTGACCTCGGCTTATGAAGCGAAAGTGTGGTCTGCACTATGCCCAGCCGCCTTTACTTTCCCTAACGTGAGTTAGCTACCCATCAGAGTTGGGTGGACTCATGGACGGTCTACTGACTTGAGCCGGATTCAAACTCGAGACTTACAGGTTAGCACTCCAGCTCTCTACCGCTAGACCACTCCGTCCCATTGTCGCGGTGTACAGGAATAATATTTTACAGAATACACACATACATAATCATTCATACATATACAGTAATACTAAAACACACACTCATACGGACACACACATACTCACTCTTAGAGACATTTTCTAACGAACTTTAGCTCCCAGGATTGCTCACATACAAAAGTATATAAACACACCCACAAACCTGGCTCACAACACACACACACACACACACTTAGAGACACACATTCTAACCCTCAAGATCACTCACGCTAAAGTAAAAAAAAATAACTTCCACAAACGTTACACACATACACACACACACAAGTTCACAAGCAAGAGTTCTCTGACCTGAAATAGTGTGAAATCTCATTTAGTGCGCCTCGCATGTTATAAAACGCAAATGTTTTTGTACATTTTATCCGGATATCGGACAAGTGTAAGACGGGATCCAATAGGTCTAGCAACGCGTATGTATGAAGACCATAAGCACCGCTAATCATACGAAGACCCACTTTCAATTGCTGGCAACCTTTAACCTGTTTCAAAATAAATAAATAAATTCAACTTAATCAAAGACAGCCAAGTCTAAAATCAGGTGGCTTATACAACTTTTATTATAATAGTAATTATTATTTGAACCACTATAATCATAATTATTATTATCACTACTATTATATGGTTAATATTTTTTGTTCTTTCTAACTAACGTCAGAACGAAGGAGATTTTTTTCTTTGTCTATTAAAAAAATGTAGGCCTACCTAAATCGCGCCTTTTCAATTATCATTTCACTGTAAAGATCTTTAGGAAAGTAATTTACTTACCAAATTTGCCCACGATTTGTGTGAAATTATTTTTATAAAACAGGAAGAGCCGTTAAGAAACAGTGTTAGTTTCCTTAGATTTGCATAAGACCTGGACAGCGCATCAACAAAAGCATCTGTCAAAATAAAGTAGTCGATGCCCAGTTGTGTCAGGTGGTTGAGAGCAAGGATGCCGTTGGTCAGTTGGTCAAACTCCACGGGTCTCAAGAATCTCTTTTTGAAAGTGACTGGCTTAAAAAAACCATCGATCCTTAAAGAGTGTAGAGTTCCTCTGGCTTTTGATAACACCGTGTTGAGAAATTTACTTCCTTCTGGAACCTTCCATTGCACTAACGGCATTCCAAACTGCTGTAGTTGGCCGCAGCGTGACAGAATGCGCGTCAGGATCCGGACAATACTGGACCAGATTGGCGTTCTTGCGCTCCTACATCGTAAGTCAGTTATAATCAATGTCGTCAGATTCGCTTGACGTAAATTCAGCAAAAGTTTCCTGAGGCACACGGCCATGGTGTCGCAATGGATGTGCTTGTTAGCATGCAAACAGCTGATGGTCAGGTCCCGAAAATGCTCACCAAGTCTCGCGGCGTACCAGCAAGCTGCTTCATTGTGTTTGGACTGTCGTCTGCAAGACAACTTCAGGTTCATGCACCGCCAAAACCTGGGTGTCCCAAAGATAAAATCTCGCCAGGATTTAGATACCGTCGCAAGTCTCATCAACTCTTTCTTTTCAAAATACTCGAAAATTTTTATTCGAATTTCTTGTGGTAACTGAAGTTCTAGAATATCAATCGTCTTTTTATTCTGTCTTAGAGTCGGAGCTTTCTTTAAAGTCTCCATTTTATCGAATCCGATAGTAACAAAAAAGCAACAGAAAGACTTGTATGGTGTGTTATAATTTGGTGACAAAACAATTCAACTTCCGTAAATTACATTGTGCAGATTAGTGCAGTGTTGTGCGTTTAATGTGTAATGTGTGTGAAAAAAATTCTCTAGAATCTAACAACACCCTCAGCGACATAGGTCAGTGTGCATTCTGAGAAGATGAATCGATTTACTTCGATCATGCCAGTGATTATCAAAATCTCATGTAGAAATCTGGATTCATTAAATGCTTACAGATAACAAGATTATTTTTATTCGAGAATGATAAAAATTTGTTTGCTAACTTCAAACGGTCTTTCTTTTGAATGGCTAGACAAAACCTCATCAAACTATAGCGCAAAACAACATATTTAATTACAAGTGATTTTGGATATAATGTTTTAAAAAAATAAACAGGAAAATTAGCGAAAATACGATATGAATCTTGTAATTTGTTCTTGGTTGGACAAAGACAATGGAAGCAAATCCAAAAAGAAAAGCAGGCTGAAATCGAAGTCAACGGCCTCAACGGCGCATAACCAGTTGACCAGTATACTTAATTGTGTTGGAGGAAATACTTTCCAACACAAACATTAAGAACGAAGAAGAAGAAGAAACGATTTGACAAAATTTACATAACATAAAGAGATTACATCTGAAAAAATAACTGACTGCTAGCTTATAAAAAAGAAATATTGTTGGAAAAGAAAAAGCTTTAGTGACTAAACCTTTACCCCTACCTTCCTACATATTTTGTCACAAATCCATGAAGATACACCCTGTGTAATAAAACAAAACATACCTTTTACACAGGCCCCTAATTTTTCTGTTATCTCAGAACATTATAATATGTCCATAACTTAAGTGTAAATAACTTAAGTATCGATAAACGCGATGTATCTATTATACACATTCCACACAGCAATTGTTGTTGGTGACTGATGATTTTTATAGCTTAGACGTTAGATGTTTCTTAAATTTTTCTGTTTTTAATAAACATTAAAAAAAAAAACATAAATGGAACTTTTCTAAAATCGTAGTTAACAAAATAAAAAATAAAAAACAAAACACTTCTAACAGATTTTTTTTTTAAATGCATATATCCATCAAATTATTTTGTATATGTTGTATTTATTGAATATTTTTAAACGTAATATAATTTGTCTTGGTAGAATGGAGTACTCATTGTTTATTTAACATAACAATTGTGTTTACCATTATTTAAAATGAACTGCTTGATGTTAGTGTCTGATTTTAATTCCGCGATACCCATCGTTCACTGTGATCGCCCTCGATATTCTACGTCTATGTTCACGTGGTATGGGATGTATTCGAACCTAGACATCAGGCGGATTTGTTCTCACACGTTTCTGGCAACTTCCTGGAAGGTCCCTGCCAGAGAGGTCGCGTCTTCTTTGTTCTACCAGTTCCATGGCTATCCTGGCAGTCTCAGGGTCAACAAAGTCAGCCGACACCTGAAACATGAAGGGGGGGGGGGGGGTGACATGGAAGTGATGTTGGGCCAATCAACTACGCTAAAAAAAATTGGAAGAAATCTCGAAATGAATTCACCTGTGAATGTGAATTTTGCCTTGACTAGTCTTAGACTTAAGTTAAAATTTCTCCTTTCATACCTAAAGTTGTATTAGGCAGATGAATTAGAGTTTATGTTGCTTGACTTGGGCTTATGTAGTGGTCATGTAGTCAGCATTATGCCCAGCAGTATTTACTTTCCCCATCGTCAGCCAGGTACCTATTATCGCTGGGTGGTCTCAGGGACGTCCTACAATCCGGAGTCCGGACTGAGATCCGAACTCAAGACCCTTCGGGATAACAGCCGAACGCCCTACCATTCAACCAAATTCCATGAGACTTACATTCAGGTGGATCAAATGTTTACTTTTCCGAACAAGTCCTAGGAATTCGTTGTCGTTCTCAACGCCCGCCAAATCTATCTTCAGCTTCACCAGGCTATGACTGTGGATCAGTTAGAAAAGAATGGATCATTTATTTTCCTTGTGCTTATGATAAACTACATTGCCTGCATTCTGGCATTGGTCGCAAATTTATACCGTTCTAGAGAAATGTAGTCATTCTATTCTTTATCATTTATTATTCTGACTACTTTAATGTGAACGTAACTGGTGTCGTGTCAGTTTCAATATCTAGATAGCTCTTCCATGTTCATCTTCGCTGTGAAGAATGTACATCTATAACTACTGTACATCTATAACTACTGTACACTGTAACTACATTTATAACTACTGTACACTGTAACTACATTTATAACTACTGTACATCTGTAACTACATTTATAGCTACTGTACATCTGTAACTACATTTATAACTACTGTACATCTGTAACTACATTTATAACTACTGTACATCTATAACTACTGTACATCTGTAACTACATCTATAACTACTGTACATCTATAACTACATCTATAACTACTGTACATCTATAACTACTGTACATCTATAACTACATTTATAACTACTGTACATCTATAAGTACTGTACATCTATAACTACATCTATAAGTACTGTACATCTATAACTACTGTACATCTATAACTACTGTACATCTATAACTACATCTATAACTACTGTACATCTATAACTACATCTATAACTACTGTACATCTATTACTACTGTACATCTATAACTACATCTATAAGTACTGTACATCTATAACTACATCTATAACTACTGTACATCTATAACTACATCTATAACTACTGTACATCTATAACTACATCTATAACTACTGTACATCTACAACTACATCTATAACTACATCTATAACTACATCTATAAGTACTGTACATCTGTAACTACATCTATAACTACTATACATCTGTAACTACATCTATAACTACTGTACATCTATAACTACATCTATAACTACTGTACATCTATAACTACTGTACATCTATAACTACATCTATAAGTACTGTACATCTATAACTACATCTATAACTACTGTACATCTATAACTACTGTACATCTATAACTACATCTATAACTACATCTATAAGTACTGTACATCTATAACTACATCTATAACTACTGTACATCTATAAGTACTGTACATCTATAACTACATCTATAACTACATCTATAACTACTGTACATCTGTAACTACATCTATAACTACTGTACATCTATAACTACATTTATAACTACTGTACATCTATAAGTACTGTACATCTGTAACTACATCTATAACTACTGTACATCTATAACTACATCTATAACTACTGTACATCTATAAGTACTGTACATCTATAACTACTGTACATCTATAACTACATCTATAAGTACTGTACATCTATAACTACATCTATAACTACTGTACATCTATAACTACATCTATAACTACTGTACATCTATAACTACTGTACATCTATAACTAGATCTATAACTACTGTACATCTATAACTACTGTACATCTATAACTACATCTATAAGTACTGTACATCTATAACTACATCTATAACTACTGTACATCTATAACTACTGTACATCTATAACTACATCTATAACTACTGTACATCTATAACTACATCTATAACTACTGTACATCTATAACTACTGTACATCTATAACTACATCTATAACTACTGTACATCTATAACAACTGTACATCTATAACTACATCTATAAGTACTGTACATCTATAACTACATCTATAACTACTGTACATCTATAACTACATCTATAACTACTGTACATCTATAACTACTGTACATCTATAACTACATCTATAACTACTGTACATCTATAACTACTGTACATCTATAACTACATCTATAAGTACTGTACATCTATAACTACATCTATAACTACTGTACATCTATAACTACTGTACATCTATAACTACATCTATAACTACATCTATAAGTACTGTACATCTATAACTACATCTATAACTACTCTACATCTATAAGTACTGTACATCTATAACTACATCTATAACTACATCTATAACTACTGTACATCTGTAACTACATCTATAACTACTGTACATCTATAACTACATTTATAACTACTGTACATCTATAAGTACTGTACATCTGTAACTACATCTATAACTACTGTACATCTATAACTACTTCTATAAGTACTGTACATCTATAACTACATCTATAACTACTGTACATCTATAACTACATCTATAACTACTGTACATCTATAACTACTGTACATCTATAACTACATCTATAAGTACTGTACATCTATAACTACATCTATAACTACTGTACATCTATAACTACTGTACATCTATAACTACATCTATAAGTACTGTACATCTATAACTACATCTATAACTACTGTACATCTATAACTACATCTATAAGTACTGTACATCTATAACTACATCTATAAGTACTGTACATCTATAACTACATCTATAACTACTGTACATCTATAACTACTGTACATCTATAACTACATCTATAAGTACTGTACATCTATAAGTACTGTACATCTATAACTACATCTATAACTACTGTACATCTATAACTACATCTATAAGTACTGTACATCTATAACTACATCTATAACTACTGTACATCTATAACTACATCTATAACTACTGTACATCTATAACTACATCTATAACTACTGTACATCTATAACTACATCTATAACTACATCTATAACTACTGTACATCTGTAACTACATCTATAACTACTGTACATCTATAACTACATTTATAACTACTGTACATCTATAGGTACTGTACATCTATAACTACATCTATAACTGCTGTACATCTATAACTACATCTATAAGTACTGTACATCTATAACTACATCTATAACTACTGTACATCTATAACTACATCTATAACTACTGTACATCTATAACTACTGTACATCTATAACTACATCTATAAGTACTGTACATCTATAACTACATCTATAACTACTGTACATCTATAACTACATCTATAAGTACTGTACATCTATAACTACATCTATAACTACATCTATAACTACTGTACATCTATAACTACATCTATAACTACTGTACATCTATAACTACATCTATAAGTACTGTACATCTATAACTACATCTATAACTACTGTACATCTATAACTACATCTATAAGTACTGTACATCTATAACTACATCTATAACTACTGTACATCTATAACTACATCTATAAGTACTGTACATCTATAACTACATCTATAACTACATCTATAACTACTGTACATCTATAACTACATCTATAACTACTGTACATCTATAACTACATCTATAAGTACTGTACATCTATAACTACATCTATAACTACTGTACATCTATAACTACATCTATAAGTACTGTATATCTATAACTACATCTATAACTACTGTACATCTATAACTACATCTATAAGTACTGTACATCTATAACTACATCTATAACTACTGTACATCTATAACTACATCTATAACTACTGTACATCTATAACTACATCTATAACTACTGTACATCTATAACTACATCTATAAGTACTGTACATCTATAACTACATCTATAACTACTGTACATCTATAACTACATCTATAAGTACTGTACATCTATAACTACATCTATAACTACTGTACATCTATAACTACATCTATAAGTACTGTACATCTATAACTACATCTATAACTACTGTACATCTGTAACTACATCTATAACTACTGTACATCTATAACTACATCTATAACTACATCTATAAGTACTGTACATCTATAACTACATCTATAAGTACTGTACATCTATAACTACATCTATAACTACATCTATAAGTACTGTACATCTATAACTACATCTATAAGTACTGATAACATCTATAACTACATCTATAACTACTGTACATCTATAACTACATCTATAAGTACTGTACATCTATAACTACATCTATAACTACTGTACATCTGTAACTACATCTATAACTACTGTACATCTATAACTACATCTATAACTACATCTATAAGTACTGTACATCTATAACTACATCTATAACTACTGTACATCTATAACTACATCTATAAGTACTGTACATCTATAACTACATCTATAACTACTGTACATCTGTAACTACATCTATAACTACTGTACATCTATAACTACATCTATAACTACATCTATAAGTACTGTACATCTGTAACTACATCTATAACTACATCTATAACTACATCTATAAGTACTGTACATCTGTAACTACATCTATAAGTTCTGTAGAACTTAGTCTTTCCTGAACACGACAAAATGATGGTTATAAATATAAATTTCTGTTTATAGGTCAGGCTTAATTATTAGTCATGCATTTTTACAGTCACTGTATGAAGAACATATATTTCTCGGGTCTTGGATATTACCCCGCCCACCTATGCTTAAGAACTCTAACCCTAACCCCAAACCCCAACCACAAACCTATGGCTAACACTAACCCGAAAATTAATCATTACCTCAACTCTAAACCTACATCTAACCCTAACGTTAACCCTGAATCTAACACTACCCCTAACGCTTACCTTAACCATGGCTCTAGATCTATTACTAGCCATAGCCATAGTCTTAACCCTAAACTTAAACCTAACCCTAAACTAAACTCTAACCTTAATGTAACGTCATCCCTAACACAATCCCTAACTTATCTTTAACTTATCCCTAACTGGGCGGTGGGGGCGGATGGCGGGGGTAAATGGCGTGAGGCTCGGGGGTATAAGGGGAGGGGGAGGGTTAATGTCCTGCTCTCATATTTTTCATGGTAAGGAATCAATTACTTTTAGCATAACCCTATGGCTCTCTATAAATACACAGTAGTTAAAACATATATATTTGGACATGACTAAAACCTACCTAAAAGATTCAGTAAAGACAGCACCCAATTTTTGAACGAATTATGACACGGCCACACACCTAACCTCTGACCTTTGGGAATAGCATGCCTGCTTAATGCTAGACACAAACGATAGGTCGCTTCGTCGCGGTGTACGGAATATTATTTTACAGAACACACACATACATAATCATTCATACATATACAGTAGTACTAAAACACACGCTCATACGGACACTCACATACTCTCTCCTAGTTACATATTCTAACGAACTATAACTCGCAATATCACTCACATGCAAAAGTATAAAAACACACCCACAAACCTGCCTCACAACACACACACACACATTCACACTTAGAGACACACATTCTAACCCTCAAGATCACTCACACGCTAAAGTAAAATTTAAAAAAAAAAACAACACATGCACAACCTTACACATATAAACACACACATACACAAGTTCACAACCAAGAGTTCGCTGACCTGAAATTGTCTGCAACCTCATGCATTGGATCTGATATTCCATATATTATGTTCCGTGCACTCTTGATCCAGATATCATACACGTTCAAGACAGGATCCAAGTAATCCATCAACTTGTATATATCAAGACCATAATCACCACTATGCATACGAAGACCCACTTTCATTTGTTGGCAACCTTTAACCTATTTTAATATAAATAAATAAATTCAACTTAATGCTTTCCTAATCAAAGACAGTCAAGTCTAAAATCAGCTGCCTTAAACAACTGTTCTTATAATAATAATTATTATTTGAATTACAATAATCATAATTATCATTGTTATTACTATTATATTTTTGATATTATTTGTTCTTTATAACTAGCGTCAGTATGAGTAGATTTCTTTCTATGTGTTATAAATAAACCGGGAGTGATCTCCCCTAAGCTTTCTCGAATATTCTTATGAAACACAATGGGGGATGGCAGCTCGGGATATAGACATGAATTTTAATCCATTTTTAAATACTTAAACTTTTTAAAATATAACAGAATTTCGTAGGAAAAAGAATTGCGCACCAAGTGAATGCACAACAAAATGTGTATAATAGTGCGCAACATTATTAGTACTTTATACATTTACATGCCTTTTTAAGAAATCGGAAATAGCGTAAATTACTGCTTCCGGTCAACGGAAATTACTCAAAATTCGAAAGCGGGCAGATCTATCTGAAATAGTACTCAAGTTATAGGCCTTTGAAAAATCGAAAGTAGAAAAAGTTACCACTTCCGGTTATCGGAAATCGCTCAAAAGTTAATACGGCTCTACGATTTTGATATAATACAACTTAGCTGTAACGGTACTCAAGTTATCGTGTTTACAGACACACACACACGCATATATACACACACACACAGACATACGGACAAGATTGCAAAACTATGTTTTTTCGACTCAGGGAGGTGTAAAACGTCGAGATTTGCAAAAATCTCTCATTTTTAAATTTTTTTTTTGCACGATTACAAGACTTTCTCTATACTACGTATATACGATAAAGTAAAATGTAGGCCTACCTAAATCTCGTCTCTTAATCATACTTACACTTTACAGATCTTTAGAAAAGTAATTTACTTACCAAATTTGCCCACGAATTGTGTGAGATATGTCTCGAAAAGCAAATAGAGCCGTTAAGAAACAGTTTTAGTTTCCTTAGATTTGCATAAGACCTAGACAGCGCATCAACAAAAGCATCTGTCAAAATAAAGTAGTCGATGCCCAGTTTTGTCAGGTGGTTGAGAGCAAGGATGTTATTGGTCAGTTGGTCAAACTCCACCGGTCTCACGTGTCTCTGTCTTACAGCCACTGGCTTAAAAAAACCATCGATTCTTAAGGATTGTAGAGTTCCCCTGGCTTTTGATAACACCGTGTCGAGAACTTTGACACCTTCTTGAATCGGCAATAGCGCTAATGGCATTCCAAACTGCTGTAGTTGATCGCAGCGTGACAGAATACGAGTCAGGATCTGGACAAGACTCGACACAACTTCCGGCCGCGTATCCCTACTCCGTAGGTCAGTAACCATCAATGACGTCAGATTTGCTTGACGTAAATTCAGCTGAAATTGCCTGAGGCATACGGCCATGGTGTCGCAATGGATGTGCTTGTTAGCATGCAAACAGCTGATGGTCAGGTCCCGAAAGTGCCCACCAAGTCTCGCGGCGTACCAGCAAGCTGCTTCATTGTGTTTCGACTGTCGTCTGCAAGACAACTTCAGGTGCATGCACCGCCAAAACCTGGTCGTCCCGAAGATAAAATCTCGCCAGGATTTAGATACAGTCGCAAGTCTCATCAACTCTTTCATTTCAAAATACTCGAAAATTTTGATTCGAATTTCTTGTGGTAACTGAAACTCAACAACATCAATCGTCTTATTATTCTGTCTAAATATCTGAGTTTTCTTTGATGTCTCCATTTTATTGAATCCGATATAAACAAAAAAAAGCAACAGAAAAAAGTCTTTTGTAGGTATGGTGTAAATATTTTGGCGACGAAATAATGTTATTTCCGTATGTTACATCGTGCATGCCAGTGCATAGGGGTGCGTTTAATGTGTATTGTGTGTAAAACAAACTCTTTAGAATCTATCAGCATTCACACCGACGAAGTTTAAGGTGTGCATTCTAAGAAGATGATTCGATTTACTACGATCATGCCACTGATTATCAGAGTTTCTAGCAGAAATATGGATTCATTAAATGTTTACAGATAACTACATTCTTTTTATTTGAGAAGGACAGGAGATTTTTTGATAACTTCAAACGCTCTTAAGTTTAAATGTCTAGACAAAACTTCATCAGACTATCGTGAGACTTTGCGAAATACATAATTTACTTCAAGTAATTATTGATATCATGCTTTAAAAAAAAAATAAAGAGCAAAATTAACGAAATAAAATTCTTGAAAAAATTGCTCAGCGTAACGGAGTTCTAGCTAATAAAAATACATTTTGTGAAATAACGGAAGACAATCCAACATGAACATAACCAATTTCCAGGCCCCGACATCAACCTTTTGACCAGTGGTTCTTAATCTGTTTGGAGGTACCGCACCCCACCAGTCACACATGCGCATTCACTGAACCCTACTGGATAGCTTACCATCAGCACTGACACTATCCGATGGTGAATTATATAAGTCAGGTGTGTCTTGACCTCCGCCGAACCCATGAGAGTGACTCACCAAACCCCTTGGCGTTTGGTCGAACCCGGGATTAGAACCAGCGCTATAGACATCACTCCTTAGTGATTTTAAAACAACCGGAATTAAGAACCAAGTTTAAGGATTAACTCGGTACAAATGTAAACTTAATCCTTGATGAGCAAAAAGGCAGCAACTTTACTAATCCATTAGACTGCTTTGACCAGCGCTCTTTAGTTAAGCCCATGTAAACCCAGAAGCCCTAGCTTCTCCTTCCACGGTTCTCCAGGATTGCTTAGGCCGGCCTACTTTTCATTTTTGGGGTTTTAGTCCATCCCTTGCCTATGTTGACATCTAACCTCCTTAAGCCGTGTCCGATCCATCCCTTTTGCAGGCTTCAATATCCCCTGCAAATCAGCTGTTGCCATGTGGTTCGACAAAGATCGCCGTTCTACATATAGCCCGGCCATCTATCTTAAGATACGTACAAATGACTGCGTGATTATTCTGCTACTTTGAACACTAAAATATGTATTTTCCTAATTTCCACGTGTTTCTTTTTTACTTTCTCGTATATACGAAGTATAGAGAAAGTCTTGTAATCGTGCAAAAAAAAAAAATCGAGATTTTTTTTTAAATCTCGACGTTTTACATCTCACTGATACGGAAAAACATAATTTTGCAATATTGACCGTATGTCTGTGTGTCTGTCTGTCTGTCCGTGTGTGTGTGTGTGTGTGTGTGTCCGTGTGTAAACACGATAACTTGAGTACCGTTACAGCTAGGTTGATGAAATTTCATATATAAGTATTTTATCAAAATCGTAGATCCGTATTAACTTTTGAGCGATTTCGGATAACCGGAAGTGGTACTTTTTCTACTTTGAATTTTTCAAAAGTCTATAACTTGAGTACTATTTCAGATAGATAAATGAAATTTGATATGTAAGTAAAAGATCTAATTCTCTACGTTCTGTCAAATTTTGAGTAATTTCCGTTGACCGGAAGTACTTATTTACGCTATTTCCGATTTCTCAAAAATCGCATGTAAAGTTATAAAGTACTAATAATATTGCGCACTATTATGCACATCTTGATTTAGCGTTCACTTGGTGTGCATTTCTTTTTTCTACGAGATTATATTCTATTTTTACAAGCTTTTATTTAACTCACTTCCTCTGTCTGTCGTCAGTCGTCAGTCGTCAGTCTAGACCGAAACGCAGGAGTGAAAATTCGGACCCTTCTACTTGACCGATACGATTCACATTTGGCACGTGGGTCAAGACATGAAGACAATGCAATCTGAAACTAAATTTGACTTAATTGGATGCCTTATTAATTTTTTATGAATTAATGAATGAATTTTTTATGAATTAAAATTTGGACCGAATTAGTAGGCATGTCTAGCCAACCACACCACACGCGTCATCACGTTCAATAGCTGCGCCTTCACGGTACGTTCAATAGCTGCGCCATCACGTTCAGTAGGCGCGCAATGGTTTTTAGTCATGTAACTCTATTGTAAATAAAACATGTAAAGTACTGAAAAAAAAATTCATAAAAAAACGTTTTAATAAGAAGCTTTTATGTCCTAATGCACTAAAAAGTAGAAAATAAATTATACATTACTATTTAAATTACTATAAAGAAAAGCGTGGGTCTCTTCCTAAACATTAATAAAGGTTTCCAATAGGTACTAAAGTGACCTACGCTTTTCTTTATAGTAATTTAAATAGTAATGTATAATTTATTTTCTACTTTTTAGTGCATTAGGACATAAAAGCTTGTTATTAAAACGTTTTTTTATGAATTTTTTTTTTAAATTGAGTATTTAAAATGGATTAAAAATCATGTCTAGAAGTCTATATCCCGAGTTGCCATCCCTCGTAGTGTTATATTAGAATATTCGAGAAAGTTTAGGGGAGATCACTCCCGGTTTATTTGTGTTGCGTCTAAGCTTGTATTGTGTCTTTTATGACCATACATGCACGTTTTTAATTAATGCATTTTTTTTTTAAAATACCGCTGTTAAATAAGAAAATCATTCCAACATTACTTTTTGAACATCAAACAACGATGTCTGTAGTTCATTATGTTTATTTATTCGATGGTAAAACTTGATGGTATGTGTCCTGGCAGAATCTATTTTTTTTTAAATTTTTTATATTTTTTTTTTAAATAATTAAGTATATACATACAAATAACAAAATATTATATTCTGATGTTAATGACTCATTAAAGTTTCACATTTTCTTTTTTTTTTTGTAAATGAGTCAGTAGGTTGTCTACCCTGGGACTCGCCAAGTCATGACTCCTGTCTCCCTCCATCTTCGTCTCTTTCTACATAACGTTTATCGGCTCCTTGGTATCAGCAGTATTCGAACTTGGACCTTCGGCCGGATGTTTTCTCAAACATCTGCTGGAGGTTTGTGGCGTTTTCTTCATGTTGAGCTTGCGCCTTCTCTGCTGTATTAACTTCATCACGGTTTTTTCAGTCCCTGGTTTGTGAAAATTAGCCGAGACCTAAAAAAAGGGGGTGGAAGGGTTTTAAAAGGCTTTATTTTTCTGTAATTTTAACTGCCCTGAAAAAAAATATCATGTCTTAAGTACTTTCATCGGTAGGTTCTCGTTAAGTTATGGGTTGGCCTGTTGGCTGGAACCCTATCACTTACATTTACATAGACCAAATGTTCGCACTGACGAACAAGCTGTAGAAATGACTTGTCAATTTTGTCAGTGTTTTCGACGTCTAGCACCAAGGTGACAAGACTTTCCCTGTAGATCAGAAAGAGAAGAAAAGATCAGATTTTTTTCCATGTGCATGGAATAATAGACATTCTATTATTTGCCGAGACTGCATATCTATATATATAATTATCTTCTGGGAGACGCTAGAAAACAAGCTGTAAGCGCGCTCCCTACCACCCCCACCCCTACATGGTCTGGTGAGCTGTGGTTCACGCTAAATGTTTACAAGAAGAGCCGGCTTTAGTGACGACTATTAGGGGCAGATAATTTAGTTTGAAACGATTTTAAACGTAGGGGGGAGGGGGGGGGGGGTAACTAAGTGGAGTTTACTTTAACGGAGGGGGGGGAGGAAGGGGGGGGGGTTATCGTCCTTAAAGAGATACTAATAGTGTTTTAAAGAAATATTTTTAGTGGCAGCGTTGGTACTGTCGAATTCACAACTAAATAGCGGCGTATGATATGCCGCGGGTCGGCTCGTAGGCATATAATTTAGAAAGGTGCAAAAGTTGTTGCTTAACTATATTGTTTTTTTATTTGTGCATAATATAACCATCGAGGGTGATCTCCACCAACATAATTTAGCATTATGTTACGTGTAATGCGCTCGTATATGGCCGGTTATATCCGACTGTAGCTGTTCTTTCTTTTATTTGCTTTCATAGCCTTTGTCAACCTAAGAACATGCTGGAAGAAAGTTGTTTGGTTTTGTAGTTTTGTAACCCTAGCCCTAGGTATAGTACTGTCCTCAGACTACGAGCCTCATCTGCTTTGGAATTTCCGAACTCGAGACATTTGTATTCGCATTTCTGCGCTCTACATTTCGACCACTCCGTACCTCTCGACGGTTAAATTAATTACAGGACTAAAAAATTGCGCCAATTCTCAAACGAAACCACATTATACCATATGTTGTCTTTATAGTCTCAATATTTAGATCTACCTACGCTTTTATTTCGTTCTGTAATATATTAAGTGTGTTATAACAAGATCTAGTCTACTGCGAGTTTATGTACACCAAGTGTTTTCGATTACATTTTGTTAACTTGGGACACATTGTCAGTGTGATATTTAAAAAAAAAATGTTGCTGTCGCCGCCGGCAAAACATCCGCGACCAGAGTAAGATTTAAAGTGTGGTACTAAGGCTACGCTCACAAGACACGCTAACAGGTACCAGAGGGACTGGTTTAATTGTTACAAATGTAAAATCAAGTCCATTTAATTACTTTTAGACAAGAAGAATGCAAGCGCCATCTTGACCACTTAAAAAAAAACCTGAATCAGAGAGTCAGTGAAGACCATACAAAGTCATGCAATATTCTTTACACTCCAGTCTATCAAGTTAAATTATGACAATGGCAGATTTAAAACAGATACATACACGTGGACAAACATACAAAACACTCTCAATACACTCACATTAGCTCGTATCGACACACACACATACTCGTAGACAAACATACACAACACTCTCAAATACACTCACATTGGCTCGTATCGGTACACACACACACACAAACACACACACATACAAACACACACAAACACTTAAACTAATACGAACACACAAACAACTGCGCACACACCAACAAATACACGCACACACACCTCGCCTACCTGTACCAGGATCTAATGTCATATAGAGCATCTGAAACGTCAGACCAATCGTAGAAAGCGCCATCCTCTTTATACAATATCCGCAGGTCTCTCACCTTCAAGACCGGATCCAACATGCCCAGTATCGAAACTGGAGAACGACGTGTGAGGCAGTGTATTCGAAAAGCTACTTTCATTTCAGGGCAACTCTCAGTCTGTGTAATATAAAACGTAACTCAAATGTGATTTCTTTTAGCTCAAAGAAAATAAAACCTAGCTACAGATGTGTGCTCTACATTTAGTCAGAAATGTATTTCATTATTTTTAATCTATTACACAGTACATTGGGGACGGAGTGGTCTAGCGGTAGAGAGCTGGACTGCTTACTGGTAAGTCTCGAGTTTGAATCTGGGTTCAAGTCAGTAGACCGTCCCTGAGTTCATCTAACTGATGGGTACCTAACTCACGTTAGGGAAAGTAAAGGCGGCTGGACATAGTGCTGACCACACTATCACTTCATATGCCGAGGTCACAGAAACAAGTGAATTCTACTTTACTTTTTTTTTTTACATAGGACATAATTTGAAGCTGCCTGAGCATATTATTTACTGGGGAATTAACATACGGAACAATCTGCATAAAATGTATTAAACTTCCACTGCACCCTAACTTAAAGACCTATGTAAAAAATTGAACTTGTGTTAAACTCTAATGTGCTGTTTAATGTCATTCAATTTTAACACATATTGCATCCATGATGATCTCCGTAATTCAAATTATTAAGGGACCGTTTATTTTATAGAAATATATACATTTATAAAAATATATTCGTCTAACTAATTTACTGTACTAAAACAAGAGCTCACAATATATATATATATATATATATATATATATATATATATATATATATATATATATATATATATATATATATATATCGTGTGTGTATGTGTGTGTGGTGTGTGTGATGTGGTGTAGTGTGTGTGGGGTGTGTGTGGGGTGTGTGGGGTGTATGTGGTGTGTGTAATGTATGTGTGTGTGGTGTGTGTGATGTGTTTGTTTGGTGTGTGTGGTGTGTGTGTGTGATAAAATGTTGATCTTAATGGGGGACTCACTCATCAATCAACAACATCTGCAGCACACACTATCCGTGTATATCTTTCATGCACCGATATTGACCTTTAAAAAACGAACCCACTCACCAAATTAACCCAGGTATCTTTTAAAATACTTGTACTATCATGAGAGACTTCATCAAATAGTCTCAGATTCTTTAGTCTCGGGTTAGATCTGGCTAGCGCATTAACGAAGGCATCTGTCAAAAAACCGTAGTCTAACCCAAGTTCTGTCAAGTTGTTGAGTAAAAGGATGCTGGTGGTCAGTCGGTTAAACTCTACTGGTTTCTGGTTAAAGCCGCTCCAATCGAAGAATCCTTCTATCCGCAGAGATTCCAGCGTTCCCTTGGACATCGACAACACAGGTTCTAAGACTTGGATGCCGTCGCTAACTTCCCAAAAAGCAAATGTCATTCCGAACTTTTGTAGGCGTTTTCTTCCGGATAGCATACGCGTTAAAGCCTCAATGATACAGGACACTTCCGGCACCTCGGAAATACTACGTCGTGCCCCAATAATCACTAATGACGTCAGAGAAATTGGACGTAGATTTACCAATAGGTTTCGGATACTGTCTGCCATTTTTAGGCAGTGGTAATAGTTGATCGTCAGTTTCTGGCAGTGTGCCGCGAATTGTATGGCGTACTTGCACACTACCTCCGGTTCCAGATCAAGTTTTTGTACTTTACAGGACAGCCTCAGGTGCATATCCCGCCAAACTCTGGGAGTTGAATGAATCAACTCTCGGAAACCCTTGCAGACCCCGGCTACTCGAATCAAGTCTTCTATGGACAGGAACCTAAATATATGAATGCAAATATGTTCGGGTATTAGGTCCCGCATGTAATTAACCTTGGAAGGTTTATTTAACTTTTGATGGTACGTCTTTCTCTTTTTCAATGCCGGCAATACTGATGAAGTAATACGCTTTTTTTCTGCTGATTCCATTTTCATAAACAAATAACAGGACTATGGGATAGAAACAATACCGTCGTTCAGTTTGAGAACTTCCTGGTGTTGCATTGTGCGCACCCGTGCAATAATAGTGCGCATGTGAAAAATTGGACGTTGATTTTTTTTTAATCTTAATAGGACTTGTGAGTCTCAGTCTCTCGTTTAATATTTGAAATCTCGTTAGCGAGCAAGATATAAATTTTCATTCTAACACTAAATTAATTGTTGTAAACGTGGTTCCTATTGATAAAAAAAATAATCTCGCCGGCTATTTGTTTCTAGGCCCCGCTTCGAGATTTTAAAATGCCAAGAGTACCCAAAATAAACAATTTTAAAACATTTACTTATAATAGAATCAAATAAAGTACCGGTAGACTTAGGCTACTAATAATATTATATTAATATCGTAACTACTTGTAGGACAACGTGTTACGGATTGGATTGAATAATAACAAAATTTACACTTTCCAACAGAGCCTGTTTTTCTTTAAGTTAGCTACATTTTATTGTCTATCATTATCATTGTTTACAGTTTTAAATTGTAATACCGGAAGTAACTTTTCTACGTTTTTTACCGTATTCATAAAAACATTTAAATTTGGTTTGAAAAATACTAGTTGACAAGTGGTTTTGTTAGGGCGTGGTTTTGTTGGGGCGTGGTTTTGATGGGGCGTGGTTTTGATGGGGTGTGGTTTTGTTGGGGCGTGGTTTTGTTGGGGCGTGGTTTTGTTGTGGCGTGGTTTTGTTGGGGCGTGGTTTTGTTGGGGCGTGGTTTTGTTGGGGCGTGGTTTTGTTGGGGCGTGGTTTTGTTGGGGCGTGGTTTTGTTGACACACCGCCAAGTCGTCCAAGGGTGTGCTATTTCGGCCGGATTTTTTCTCAAACATTCGCTTCAGTTTTGTGGCATTTTCTTCATGTTGAGGTGTGCTATTTAAAACCCTTCAGTGTACGTTGATCCTTTTTCAAAATAGTTAGACATAACACCCCTCAATGACGGCGTATATGTCAAGGGCGTCTTCGGTGTTGCCCATGGCAACAACACTACAGACCGGGCGTCTGGTGCCACCCAGATTCTGTTTTGTCATAGATTCTAGTAAGTAGCCCAGGGTATCTGTATCGCGCTCTTTAAAATAAAGGTAGGTGACAGAATGCTTGACGATAAACTAGGGAGGATCCGAGCCACGTGACCAGCAGGGCGCCGGAAGTCACCTCTGGTGTATTTTAACCGGTTATTTATAAAGTACACATGACACCCTGTGTCACGTGATTCGAGTTCTCAGGAGCAGAGCGGAAACCTTAGCATGCCCATCTACCAATTTATTTCTTTAAAATTGTATTTACCATCACTTGAAAAAATGGTTGAACTATTACTTTCATTAGCTTCTTTCTTTAGAAAAATTAAATAATCTTACTATATGTATTTTCCTTGACCTTTGAAATTATATTTACCATTACTTGAAACAATTGTTGAACTATTGCTTCCATTAGTTTTTTTTTAATTAGAAATTAAATAATCTCTCTATATAAATTTTCCTTGATCTACTCCTTATGTACTTTAGATAAAATTGTTCAATGTCATTATAATAATATATTACGGCCAAATCAACAATATTTTTGGTTGCGGTACTGCATTTTTCGGACGATACAAATTATAACTTTCAAGTTAAAACAAGTCTTCGAGAAAATAAGCATTGGACGTTGCGATTGTTTTTAACTACTGCACTTGTGCCCGTAAGATTAGATAAGAAATAGCGTTGTTTAGCGATGTGATAATTTATGCTTACGTAACTTAGGGACGTATTAACTTTTGATTACTTTTCGGATGAATATTTTGTTTCATTACTTTATTTTTTATTTGCTTTCGTTAAATTGTATTTAATGATAATTAAATTAACTAATTTTAATTTGATAATTTCAAAATATTCGTATAATATATTGCTATCGTAGCTCAAATAATAATATATCAAATGTGAATTAAAATATGTAAGGTTACTCCACACTTTAAATTTAATTAAGTCCACAAGGTTTAATTAAAGTATAAACTAACTTCGAACAAATGTTGTAGCTGTTCATCTTACGTTTAATATCTACAATGTGTAATGAATGTTATGCTAAAATGTTAATGTTTAGTTTTTCGTCAGTGATGTTTGGTAAATTAATTATAAATTGATGGAGATATTTTTAATCAAGTTAATTAGGTACGGTAAGTCAGATATGATGGTGAGCATATTGATGAAAAAAGTGGGGGGCAGGTGGTGTTTACTCCGTGGGTGGGGCTGACCCACGATCTAACCGTCAGTTAGCGAGGCCCAGCCTCCTTGGTGGTACCGTTTTGTGTTGGGGTACTTGATGTCATGGCGGTTCTATAACCTGGGACTGTAAGCCCACTAGGTCCAGCCGGCATGTTATGTGTTCTGTCAGTTGACTCGGTAGTTCTTGAACCTGGGTCTCTTAGCCGACTAGGCCCTGCCTGCATGTTAGGAGGTCCAATACTCGCTGTCATGGTGGTTCTTGAACCTGGGACTGTTAGCCCACTAGGCCCAGCCTGCATTATTTGTGTTCTGTCAGTTGATTCGGTGGTTCTTGAACCTGGGACTGTTAGCCCACTAGGCCCAGCCTGCATTATTTGTGTTCTGTCAGTTGATTCGGTGGTTCTTGAACCTGGGACTGTTAGCCCACTAGACCCAGCTTGCATGTTAGGAGTTCCAATACTCGCTGTCATGGCGGTTCTCAAACCTGTGACTGTTAGCCCACTAGGCCCAGCCCCCATGATTTGTGTTCTGTCAGTTGATTCGGTGGTTCTTAAACCTGGGACTGTTAGCCCACTAGGCCCAGCCTGCATGTTAGGAGGTCTAACAGTCGCCATCATAGTGGATCTCGAACTTAGGACTGTAAACCGACTTGGCCCTGCCTGCATGTTTTGAGGTCCAATACTCGATGTCATAGCGGTTCTCAAACCTGGGACTGTTAGCCCACTAGGTCCAGCTTGCATGTTCTGTGTTCTGTCAGTTGATGCGATGGTTCTCGAACCTGGGACTGTTAGCTGACTAGGTCCAGCTTGCATGTTCTGAGGTCCAATTCTCGCTGTCCTGGTAGTTCTCAAACCTGGGTCTGTTAGACGACTAGGACCTGCCCCCATGTTCTGAAGTCCAATACTCGCTGTCATGGCGGTTCTCGAACCTGGGACTGTTAAGTGACTAGGTCCAGCCTGCATGTTAGGAGGTCTAACAGTCGCCATCATAGTGGATCTCGAACTTAGGACTGTAAACCGACTTGGCCCTGCCTGCATGTTTTGAGGTCCAATACTCGATGTCATAGCGGTTCTCAAACCTGGGACTGTTAGCCCACTAGGTCCAGCTTGCATGTTCTGTGTTCTGTCAGTTGATGCGATGGTTCTCGAACCTGGGACTGTTAGGTGACTAGGCCCTGCCCCCATGTTCTGTGTTCTGTCACTCGCTGTCATGGCGGTTCTCGAATCTGAGACTGTAAGCCAACTAGGTCCAGCTTGCATGTTCTGTGTTCTGTCAGTTGCTGCCGTGGTAGTTCTCGAACCTGGGTCTGTTAGACGACTAGGACCTGCCCCCATGTTCTGAAGTCCAATACTCGCTGTCATGGCGGTACTCGAACCTGGGACTGTTAGGTGACTAGGTCCAGCTTGCATGTTCTGTGTTCTGTCAGTTGCTGCCGTGGTAGTTCTCGAACCTGGGTCTGTTAGACGACTAGGACCTGCCCCCATGTTCTGTGTTCTGTCACTCCTTGTCATGACGGTTCTCGAACCTGGGACTGTAAGCCGACTAGGCCCTGCCTGCACGCTCCCTGTCATGGTGGTTCTCGAACCTGGGCCGTCGGGCGGGTTTAGTCTCGGCCGTTTGTTAGTTTTTTCCAGAAACGTCTTGATCTTGTGCTGGAGTTTTCTGGCTTGTATGTGGCCCAGGACAAGACGGCGGGTGTGTTGGCCCGAGAAGAAGGCCCAGACCTGAGGACATAAAGGGGGGAGGGGGGAGGAGGACTTTTATAAGTGAGGAGGGGGATGCAATTTGGACAGACAAGTGAAAGTGTGATTGTCTGACTATGTGTGCGTGTATTTGTACCTGTGTGTGTGTGTTTGGGTGTGTGTGTATATATCTTTGTCCGTGTGCGTGTGTGTACATATATGCCTGTGTGCGTGTATACGTGTGCGTGTTGACTATTCAGATCAACTCTACTGCGTACTCTTTGTAGACTATCGCGTGTAAAAGTGAACTCTATATCTCTTAGCTCGGATTCTTTTTGTCTAACGTTTGTAGTATTTTACTGAAACCATTCAGACACGCGAACAAAACAATTACTCTTGGCTACTTTGATCAACAACACGTTAAACTCTCGCGAACTGTGTTAAAAAATGGAAAAAAATCAGGAGCTAAACGGGCTTTCAACTGTGTGACATAGTGCTCAGTTATGTAAGGTGAAAAGAACAATGTATAAGGGGAGTAGTGACTGCTAAAAATTGGAGAAAAATGGGGAAGACCTTTTTGAACTACTGAGAAGTTAAAAGAAACGTTACACAAAGTGTAAAGGAATTAGATCACGCGAATCACTTTGAAAGAAAAGTGGTGGAAAGATTTTTGTAGCCCTGGTAAAAACAAGAGGCGTTAATTTGTTTTTACAGTTGGCGAACTAGTCATGGCCTTTAAGTTTGGGTTCTTGTTTTTTTTTTTTTGGAGGTATCCCCATAATCTTTTTGGAGTGGTCACTAGTCACTGAAGTGATCCCTTCTTGTAGATTGATCCCTATCTTTTGAAGTTGTGCTTTAGATTTTTAGGGTTCCCTATATGTGAAAGTGATCCCTAAATTTGGAATGTGCCCTATATTTTGAAATGCTCCCTAATTTAGGAATGACCCTTATATTTTGCAATATTCCGGATATTTTGAAGTTTTTCCTAATTTTGGAGTGACCCTTAAATTTTGGAATATTCCCGATATTTTGAAGTGATTTTATATGACAAGATACAACTTTGTATTTGGTCACCAATCTTATAATTTTTTTATGCTTTGGAGTGACCTCCACAACCTACTACCCCCCCCCCCCCCCCGGAACACACACATACTATATACCCCTTCTTACCTTTACTCGAATCAGGTGTCGACAATTCTGGACAAGCCGCTTGAAGGATGCGTCGATGGGGTCGATGTAGTTGTCTACTTCCATCTCAAACTTCACCAAACTCTGACTGCAGAAAACAGAGCACAAGACACTAGTAGTTTCCCTTTACCAAAGTCACAGAAGTTATCTCCCTTCACCTCAGCCACCCTTGTTAACAGCGCCACCTACTTATGCCAGTATATGTAAACTCGGTTTCTTACTCATGCAAACGGTTTTTTTTTTCAAGGTTATGCGAGTATTGGAAGCGGGGTGGGTGTGGAGGGGAGGATGCCAGTACCATATTTAAATTCGGTTTCTTACTCGAGCAAACGTATTTTCAAGGTATTGCGAGTATTTGAAGAGGGGGGGGGGGGTGTTTGTAAAGGGCTGCACGTTTATACGACTGCGTTGGAGAATGTGTTACATAACTAAATCCCTTTAGATTCGAATCCCTCAATTAACTTGTTGCCTAACGGTAGAGCGCTAAACTGCCAACTCGAAAGTCTAGAGTTTGAATCCGGGTTCAAGTCAATAGAATGTCCATGAGTCCACCGAGCTCTGATGGGTACGTAACAAAAGCGGCTAGGCATAGTGCTGACCGCACTATCCCTTCATATGCCGAAGTCTCTAAAGCAAATGAACTCTACATCCTCTGCACCACGTGTCTGCGGCACGATCATGGAAATATGATAATCAGTTTAAATACTAATACCTCAATAAACTGTACAGTCGATATCACTATTAATCCCTCAAACAAACGTAACAATGTGTATCACATAAGAGTAACATATCTCCACAACCTCAGCAATTTTCTATGGCATGAGCAAATTCTTTAACCTGCACCCTCATCAGCGATTTCCAAAATGGAGTCGACAAAAAAAAAACGTTAACTCGTCGCATTTCCCTTCGTCAAAATCAAAATGGCGCGCAATTATTTGGCACAGTCTCCCCTATACACAGAACATTATTAGCTTTGACAAACACACAACCAAATGTCAAGGACGTCGGCGGCCATGATGACGCGTTATTAATTATTTCTGGCAGGCGCTGGAGATATGTAGTAATTAGTCTTCGCCTGGCAATTCATTTGATGATTAGATCAATAATTCATCTTATGGCTTAGCTCGTTCATAGGAATCTAGACACTGAATATGTCTATTCATGCGGGGTAGAGCTATGAAGTGTCGCTCTATAAATATAATAGCTCAGCGTGAGACGGATATATAAACTTGTATGTTGGTTAGTAGTGTAGTCTCAGATTATAATAACTCAGCATAACTTCGCGTGAGACTGAAGTAGCGAGGTCGGGTGTCACCCGGTGCGGCACTTAATGGTGTCACCCCCCCCCCCCCCCCCAGAGGCGTAGCGACCTTTCCCAGGGATAAACTTTCAATTTTTCGATTTGCACCCCCCTCAAGTTTTTCTCTATATATTGTGCTACTTTTTTGCCTTGGTGTCACCCCCCTAAATGGTGTCACCCGGTGCGGTCCGCACCCCCCCGCCCCCCCCCCCCTCGCTACGCCTCTGATGTTGGTTAGTGGTGTAGTCTCAGATAATAACTCAACACAACATGGAGCTTGAGACGGGAATACAAACGTGTATGTTGGTTAGTATTTTGGGAATTTCCCGTTTACATCGTTCATGTTTGAGGTTAGGGTTACTGTTAGGGAGTATTAAAGGGTCACATTCAACTTTATTTTAGTGTCCTTTGCTAATGTAGACGCGCTTTGAATCATAGTTCAGTACCTAAATATGACGTCACTGTGATTAGGCAGTGCTGACGTCAAATTGACCGGACAATGACGACGTTATTTTTTACAAGATGACTGCTATAACGGAGTTTACTTGAAGCACATATACATGATATTTTGATCACACACGCTATATCAAACACGGCTAGTATACAGTACACATACTCTACATAGAGCAGTTGAACACATACAAACTAAAGACACTTAAAAGACACATAACACCCCCGTAACACAGACATTGCACATTTTAAACATACATAGCCCACACATAACACACAGAACACTCACATATATTATACGCTTAAAACACACATAATATACATATAATAAACATAACATACATAACATACACATAACATATTCACAAGAATACTCATAACATGACACATGAAAAACACTTATCATAGCCATACGAACACAAATAATACACATAACACACATACAGTAATTATAACACCCACGCAATGCACATAACACACATGCAATATACACATAACACACATATAAATAGCACACACATAACATGGACATAATATACACCTAACACACACATAACACTCACACAACACCCACAACACACACATAACACACACATAACACACACATAACACACATAACCCACCCATAACACGGACATAACACTCACACAACACACACAACACACACAACACACACATAACACACATATAACACACACATAACACTTACACAACACCCACAAAACACACACATAACACACACATACTACACACATAACCCACCCATAACACGGACATAACACTCACACAACACACACATAACCCACCCATACTCAGTCAAGACACTGACCTAAAGCTGGTGGTGATATGCTGTAGTACCGTCGCCATCTTTAACTTGTCCGTATCCAGCAGCACGAACTTTGACCCTATCATCAACCGGATCTTGTAGATGGGCAGAACCGGATCCAATATGGCGGGGATGGCCACGGAAGGGGAGATGACCCAACCATCAATCTGGAACGCTACTTTTAATGATGGGCAGGCCTTTTTCTGGTAGTAGCAATGGAAAAATGAAAAAAAAATATTCTCAAATTTGATTCGAATTCACTGAGAAGCAACAAAGCGTAAAATAAGATGTTCAGACCCTACGACCCCCTCCCCATCTCCATTTTATTTACACCCTTTGTTTCTTCCTTAGATAAAACTACCCCCCCCCCCCAAAAAAAAAAACAATTTCTTGGCGTTACGGGTCAGTAGTAAGTGAGGTTAGAATTGGTTGGAATAGTCTAGAACATAGGAGAGAGGTGTGCGTGAGTTGAGTTAACCCCGGGGTGTTTAGGTATTGCTATCCCAAGGTCGAGTGCGGGTATATAAGCTGGAGTGAACGATTGTAAAGGGGCTTTTTAGTTAGTAGCGGCTAGGGACGAGGGCTGATGGTGTAATGGTGAGGATAAGAACAAATAAAGGTTTGAACCGTACCTTGAATCGCGTTTGGAATTGAATGAAAGTTTGGTCGTAACAGTGTGAGTTGTAGTAATGTATGCCAAATCACCATCGACCCCCCCCCCCTAAGTTTGCTACTCAACACCCCCCCCCCCCCTTCGGCGTGCAAAGTAGCACCTGTATTGTATGACATTTCCCTTCTGTTGCATTATTCATGGAAATAATACCTTAAGGTGACACTCCTTAGCGTCATGATGGGGTGTAAAGGCTATCAGGCTTTTCGTCTACACTGGCAGTAAACGTTTCCTCTTTAATTAAGTTAATTAGGCTAAAATTTGGGTTTCCTCTACTGATAAAACTCATTAATAGACAGATTAATGGAGTCGTTATGTTATTAATGTATGATTAAACCCATTGATCACTAAAGTAAGAAGTCGCTGACACTAGCGTAGGGGTATTTCTACAGGAAGGGGGTTTGATACAATAGGTGATTAACCTACGCTAATAGGTCTTTACAACTAAAGGTCATATTTCTTTACGTTCGTCATGTATTACGTGTCAAACTTTAAAGCGCTATATGGACCGTTGACTCCGATTTCAGCCTGCTTTTCTTTTTGGATTTGCTTCAATAGCCTTTGTCCAACCAAGAACAAACTACAAGGCAGCAGTTGTTTGATTTTGGAGTTTTCTCTCCTAGATGGGTTGCTGTTCTCAGTTATCGAGCCTCACCTGCCCGGGTATTCGAACTGTGGATTTTTTGGTTTAGCAACAATAAATAGGTAATCGAAAATAGGTCTTTATTACATTAAGTCATTAAAAGATTATTAAAACTTTTACTTTAGGTCTTTACAATACTAGGTCTTTATAAAATATTGTCATTAAAATTATTGTCCTCGAAACAAAAGATAATCTAAAATAGTTTATTGTAGTGTTAGGTATTTGAAATACATGACTCTAAAATAATTGGTGATTAAAATACTAGGTCTTTACATCATCTCTTCATTAAAATACTGGTGTTTATAGTATTTGGTCATCAACTTTACACGTTTTTGTAACACTAGGGATTTAAAATACAAGGCATAAATAGTATTTGTCACATACATGCTAGGTTAGAGCATGATATAACTAAAGCATTGGGCATTCAGTAAATGATGTTACAGAACACTATATCACTCTCCACACTAACCACCACACACTTAATTCAGCCTCCCTCCGCGCCCCACACAACATTACCTACCCCCAACCTCTACACCTTCAATCCACCACATCCACTTCAATTCCTCTCCCCACACCTCAACTTCCACACCTCACTTCTACCTCTATCCCTCACACTCTCACATCAAACCCTCACCACTCTCTCCACCCTCACAAAGTTAACCTCTCATCTCACACACATTTTAACTACCCACCCCCACAATACACCCACATTAAATGTGTGCTTGTTACACCGATATAACCCACCCGCTACACTCTGTCCATGGGAACAGGCAGTGCACGACAGAAAATTTGCACCAATTAACTAATGGATTAATTAACTACCGCCCTCATTACCATAATCTGAACTACAGAATCTACCCAAGTGCAAAAAAGTATTTCCCATCAATGAATGTGATGTTTTTCACATGAAAACCACATGTGCAAAAAAAAAGGGGGGGGCGTGTCTTAAAATAGAAACACTTCAACACAAAGGCCGATCACTCTGTCCAGTTGTCCTTCCCTTGCGAGAGAAGCAAGTAAAAAACAGATTAAAGAAAAATTATATTTCCTCCTTAGCTCGACTCTGAAGCCCCATCCATATCTCCGTCCACACCTGATATTAATTATAATTATCTCATTAAGATCGGACGCAGGATGAGGACGGGGGCTTAAAACGTGGACCGCCACACGCCACATCAACCTATTGTGCCTACCCTGGGCTGGTGATTTATTTAGTATTTTCCTGGTGCTACAATCAATACCGGAGTTATCTCCCTGTCTTGTCGTCTGATCTGATAACCACAGGGGCAGAGAACTGGGGATTACATCTGATAAAAACAGGGGCAGAGAACTGAGTGGCCGCTCTTTGGGACAGGTTAATTTATAGATTATACATACGTATATTTATGTATATATGCGCATATATATATATATATATATATATATATATATATATATATATATATATATATATATATATATATATATATATATATATATATATATATATATATATATATATATATTCCTACTTTCTAACCAGTCTTGTAGTTTTAGATTTAAAGTGGTTTTTTTTTTAGATTTTAAGTCATATTCTAGATTTTAAGTCAAGTTTTAGATAATAAGTAAAGATTTAGATTTAAAATCAAGTTTTAGATTTAAAAGGTCAAGTCGACTTTAATTTCCCTAACATGCATTAGGTACCCACCAGAGCTGGGTGGACTCATGGGTGTAATACTGACTTAACCTGGATTCGAACTCGATACTTTGGGTTAGCAGCCTAGCCCTCTACCAGCTTAGGCTATGCCGTAAACGTGTAGTAAAGTTTGATTTTTTTATAAGTTTTGGACCCATTACTTCAAATTTGTCTACCACTGTTTGGTAAGATTTACCAGTAGAGAGCAGCATTTACTTACCAATTGTACCCAGGTAGTTTTTAAAATTTTGGGTGTCCTGGGGTTGAGATCTTTCACTGTCAGTTTGAGAACCTTGAGCTGCCCCGCATGTGACTTAGACAGCGCAGTCACAAAGTCATCAGTCACGAGAAAGTAATCCACCCCCAGCTTCGCCAAGCGCGGGAGAGCCAGGATACCTCTGGTCAGTTGGTCGACCACGGTCGAGGGCTGAAGGATAGAATCGTCAGAGAAGAAACGGTCGATGACGAGCGACCGTAGAGTCCCGCGGAAAACGGACAACACGGTCAGGATGACCCTGAGGCCTTCTTGGAGCGGCCAGAGTGATGACGTCATGTGGAAATCCTGGAGCTTATCCATGGACGACAGGATCCGCGTCATAACCTGACTCAGGCTAACCAAGGTCACGCCGCCCCCCGAGTTATCTAACCGTAAATCAGTTATTTTTAATGACGTCAAAGACGGATGACGTAAGCTGAGTAACAATTTACGTAAGCAGATGGCCATGAACTTGCAGGCGTGTCTATTCGGGTGCTCGCACGTGATATTCAGACGCTGGACGTAGGATCCGAACCGTTTCGCGTACGAATAGGCTCTTTTGTTATACAGAGACGGTCGACTGCAAGCCAGCTTCAAATGTTTATTCCGCCACAACTTTGGGCTAGTCAGGATCAACTTCCTCCAATGCTTACACACGCACATCAACCGCAGCAGTGTGTTTTTGTCGAGGTAGCTGAAGATATTCAGCAGCAACTCTTGCGGTATCTGGTCGATACAATTTAAACCTGATGGTACAGTTCTGTACAACTCGTTGTTCAACCCCGTTGATGGTCTGAACACATTCCTCACACGACTTACCGTACTGGCTATCAAAGTCTTTCTAAATCTTGCCATTTTACTATACTGTACCCTGTAGAGTCTTGTTATTTTAAGTAAATAGGGAAAGGATGACTACAGCTTAATGTATCAGCTTTTCTTTTTACACTATAGCGACGTCGATGGCGCGCTGAAAAATACAACAGCTTCCGCCTGGTACATTGTGCGCACCGGTGCAGAAATGTGTACACTTGGTGTGCAAAATTTCGAGGTTATTAATGGAAATAATTTGTTGGCAGTAGAATGAATAGTGTTACTCGTATTATTATTTTAGGATATGGTTTAGATTAATTTTTCGTTTTAGCGTATCTGTGTACGTAACGTTTTATTTACCACGAGCCGACCCGCTGCGTATCATACGCCGCTATTTAGTTGTTTTTTTCTACTTTTCAGTAATTTATAATTTGTGAATTCGACAGTACCAATGCTGCCATTGAAAATATTTACTTAAAAACACTAACCCCCCCCCCCCCCCCCACGTGAAAGCAGCCTCCTCTTAGTTACCTCCTCTAAGTTTAAAATCGTTTCAAACTAAATTATCTGCCCCTAATAGCCGTCACCAAACCCGTCTCTATGATTGTAAAATGTAAACAGAGTGAACACCGCTCACCAGATCATGTGGGGGTGGGGTGGGGGTGGTAGTGATAGTGATAGAGAGGAAGAGAGGGGACTGCAAAGGCGCGCTTGCAGCTTGTTTTCTAACTGATCCCAGAAGAGAATTATATATATAGATATCGATCTAGATATTAGTTGAGACGTTCTTCTAGTTCCATGTTCAATATAATTTCGGTTTTCGTATTTTTTTTTACAAATAGATCAACGTTTCGTACATTTTGTTGATAAAATTTATCATCGCATTACTTACAGTTACATTATTAAAAGATATTGTTATGAATCTTTTTTTTTTATGGAAAAAAGCCCGTCACTAAACTCAACTAGAAAAGTATGCAGGCATGAGCTACCATCAGAAACCTTGAACTAACAGGACTGTATCAAACGTACGTCAATAGGAATTAGCAATAATTGACAACTCGATGTTTAAACTGTTTAAATCATGAAAACAACACCCCCCCCCCCCATCCCCTCGTTTTGTCGCTTGCTGTCGGTATCGATACTTCTAAAACAGCGGTGTAATCAGTAGACAAAAAGACCGTACAACTTCCGTGGATTACCCCCATAGCTGTGTACGGCTAATCCATTTGTTTCCCGTAGCCTTTCCATCTAGATGTCTGGCACTGATGCTTACCCCCCGCCCCCCTCACACACACACGCAGATGAACTTAGTTCAGGCATTGAATGCTGACATCGTGTATATTTAAAAAGATAATACAGAATTTCGAATGTATAGCGAACGATTATCGTATGTAATCGGGTGAAGTTGTTTTTCGATTAATTGATGTATACATTTCTCAGTAATCGATACCGACCGGAACCGCGATACTGTTTCGCAGTGAGGTATTTATTGTTCCTGGCGGTATCGTTCTTACGATTACAGCTAAGATGACGGCCACATCCCATGCTATGCGTCATGGCAAGGCTATGCTTAGGATTAGCTCCATGGTCGGAGGCTTGGATTAGGATTAGCAGTGTTAAATGCTACATATGCAGTAAAATCAAAGGCAACTGACATAATCGAAAGTCTATCCATTTACAGAAATATTCGTAATCGCTGAATTGTTTTGAACTACTCAAAACAAAAAAACATGTTCACTCGTCTACTAGATTGTTGAGACTGTTTCAATAGTTTAGCTACACTAACTAACCCAGACAGTATCTCCGACCCTAACTCTGTTCCTGTTTTATCCTTTACCTAAGCACTGAACCTTACTCTTTTTCTGACCCTGATCCTGACCTTCAACCTTGACCCTGACCCTAACCCTGACCCTGACCCTGACCCTAACCTTTACCCTTACCCTTACCCTTACCCTTACCCTGACCCTAATCTGATCCTAACCCTGACCCTGACTCTAATCTTTCAACTCCAGATTGTTTCTAGACGAAAAATGAAACTTGATGCAACTCAGCGTCTTATCGTTTACGGTTCAAAGTCCATAACTAAGGGTCCAAATTTGAAACTGTTGCTTGTATAATGATGTATTCATTAAGACATAATTTAGTAGCCACTAACCTAACACCTTTTTCATATACTAGCATGAGCTGTTCTGTTACAGAATGTATTGTGAATATAAAATATCTATCGTGAGGATTTAAAATTACCATTTTATTTGTAAATAGTCAGTTGTATTTTAACATCCCCATAAGAACTGAAACAAAATATCACCTGCGGGCCACTCCAAGGGAGATAATAATTTATTAAAAATCGACACTTGTCTCCCTTTTCACTGAGCACAACAAATTGATCTCCCTTGGGTTTTTTGTGTTCGGATAGTGAAATTTCTGTATTTCTTCCCCCTTGAGTATGCTCAGCTCTTATTGGTACTTAACAGTCGAATCCATATAGTGTAGGGGATATTTCAAACAGATTGGCGTATTGAATGAAATACAACAACTAAACTATAGTTTTTAAATTTAAGAGTTTGAAGTGCTGATTTCGGTAAATGACTGTTGGAGGTGTGGATAAAGTTTCGGTCATTTGTGTGTTCTTGTTTTAAGTCAAAACTGATATCCACCCACCCCCCATCCCTACCTAAATGTAAGTCAGTTCTTTATCAAAGCGAAGTAGACATTGTTCAGTGGATTATTATCCTGTACCAAACGCAATGCCTTCAATCTCACAATCGTCGATTGTACAACTTAACCACGACAACCAAACGAACATTTCTCCACATTAGTCAATGTTCGTACCTCGAGTTTCGAACCAAGCTGTCATCTATTTTTATCCGCGACAGACAACATTCATTTCAATGCTCATTTGTTTTTCTTTTGCAATCGATTACAATTTTTAACCGCTTCAAAAGGTAAAAAAACAAGACTATCGATTTTTTTTAACGTCATTGATGGGAAAATAAAAACTGATGTTATCAATTAGGGCTGAAGAATGTAACACAGACGGAGCGACCGTGAAAGGGTTAATAAATCATAAGGTTAGGTAAAGTGCCCGAATCAGATGGGACGACTATGAAAGGGTTAATACATCATGACTAAGAGATGGGGAGTCTGAAATGGATGGAGCGACAGTGGAAGGGTTAATAAATCATAAGACTAGGCTGAGGAGCCTGGAAGAGATTGTGACGGTTGTGAAAGGGTTAATGAATCATAAGGGCCGGCATATCGCTAATATTTGCTGTCTTCATTTTTCATGCGGGGTTGTAGACTGGTCAGCTGGTTGTCAGCAGGGATAAGGATAGTATGGGATAGGGCAACATTCATTTGGGATATGTGGGATAGGACAACATTCCATTTGGATATGTGGGATAGGGCAACACTCCATTGGGATATGTGGGATGGGGCAATGTTTTATTGGGATATGTGGGATAGGGCAACATTCCGTTGGGTATGGGGGATAGGGCGATATTCAATTGGGATATGTGGGATAGGGCAACGTTCCATTGTGATATGTGGGATAGTGCAACGTTCCATTGTGATATGTGGGATATGGCAATATTTTATTTGGATATGTGGGATAGAGGCAACACTCCATTGGGATATGTGGGATAGGACAACATTCCGTTGGGATATGTGGGATAGGGCAATATTCCATTGGGATACGCGGGAAGGGGCAATGTTTTATTGGGATATGTGGGATAGGGCGATATTCCGTTGGGATATGTGGGATAGGGCGATATTCTGTTGGGATATGTGGGATATGACAACATTCCGTTGGGATATGTGGGATAGGGCAACATTCCATTGGGATATTTGGGATAGGACAACATTCCGTTGGGATATGTGGGATAGGGCAATATTCCATTGGGATATGTGGGATAGAGGCAATATTCATTTGGTATATGTGGGATAGGATAACATTCCATTGGGATACGCGGGATGGGGCAATGTTTTATTGGGATATGTGGGATAGGACAACATTCCTTTGGGATATGGGGGATAGGGCAATATTCAATTGGGATATGTGGGATAGGGCATTATTCCGTTTGTGTTAGGATAATGGATAGGGCAAAGTTCTGTTGTTGTTATTGGGATGTATGTGAAATGTTTTGGGATATTTGGGATAGGGCAGCATTCTGTTGTTGTTCTTGGGATGTATGGGACATGTTGTTGGGATTTTTGAAATAGCGAATAGGGCAACATTCGATTGGTGCTGTTGGGATATGGGATAGTGCAACATTTATTTGGGATATGTGGGATAGGACAACATTCCGTTGGGTATGTGGAATAATGCAACATTCCATTGGTTTTTTTTTGGGGATATGGGATAATGCAACATTATTTATTGGTGTAGTTAGGATATGGGATAGGGCAACATTCCGTTGGTTTTGTTGGGATATGGGATAGTGCAACATTATTTGTTGGTGTTGTTAGGATATGGGATAGGGCAACATTCCGTTGATTTTTTTGGGATATGGGATAGTGCAACATTATTTATTGGTGTTGTTAGGATATGGGATAGGGCAATATTCCGTTTCTGTTGTTGGGATATGGCAATATTCCTTTGTTGTTTTTGTGGATATATGGGATAGGGCTTAGGATAAAATTCCAGTATTGTTGTTAGGATATATGTGATAGGGCAACGTTCCAATTTGTGGGACATGATATTTGGCAACATCCATTGTTAAAGTTTGAATAAGTGGGATATGAAATAGGACAATATTCCATGGATGCCATTATGGTTTGGATTTCAGCTATATTCCATTGAAGTCTTTGCGATATGTGTTATATGCGCACGAAGACAATATATTGGTCTCTTTGGGATCTTTATGACATGGAATATGTGTTTATTCTCTCGTGTGAATGAGTTATGTAAGACATATTGAATATTTCTCCATATGAATAATTATGCAGTTCATGTGGGATATTTTAGGAATGCGTCATATTATAAATATAGCTATGTATCAGGAAAAAAAAAACGTGGCTACGAGAATGCGGACTAGAAACAATCGAAGCTGATGAATGCCACATACGATTGGACTACCGACCGCATTCCAAAACTGTTTGATGGTCCTGGATATCGATCTCTACGATTATAAAGACCGTTACGTAATCTCACAGTAGCAGAA